GGGTCAAATGGGACTTCCAGTCCTAGTTCTTTGAGGTATCTCCATACTGATTTCCACAGTGGTTGCACCAGTCTACACTCCCACTGGTGCCTTTTAATTTAATAAGAATAAATTAATATTCTGGGGGCACTGTTAAAATTTATACTTCATTATTCAGTAACCTAATGCAGTTACTTCTTTTTCCTGTAGGAATCAGTCTTTGCATTTGCATTTCAAGCACTATGGTGTGAATTGTGATGACTGGTTATTACGCCTCATGTGTGGGGGTGTAGAAATCAGAACAATTTATGCTGCTCATAAACAGGCAAAGGCTTGTCTCATTTCAAGATTAAGTTGTGAACGAGCCGGTACAAGGTTCAATGTCCGAGGAACAAATGATGATGGTCATGTTGCCAACTTTGTCGAAACAGAACAGGTATATAATGTTTTATATGCTTATTCATGTATTGTAGGAGAGGAGAGGAGAGGAAATACTAGAATAACAGATTTTTACTTGATCCAGAACACATTTTGACAGCTATAAGTTAGGTTATGATGTTCTTGGCTACTTACTGGCCAAAAGAGAGTCTCTAAAACGAACCACCTTACTGGGGAATGACTCTTCAAAAAGATAACAAGATATTTACTAATTACAGTGGCATAGTCAGTGCTGTACATTTGATATTAAATTTTAAAATCCGTAGACAATTTAAGAAAAGTTGGTGGGGTTTTTTTGATGAAATTAAACATAACTCTTAATCAGAGATGTATACTACCTAAAAATTAAGTGATGGTATTTTTGGCTATGAACCTATAAAATTATAAATTCAAACCGTGCCCCAGTCCAACTCCAACTTTCACATTAGGTTTTGAGAAATATGAAAAACCAAGGAAAATAAATTAAATGAAATGTAAAGATACATTTATAAAATATTTAGATTAAAAGGAGTTCCTTTCAAAAAGTTGTGATTCTTAAGCTTATATATATATCCTGTTCTCTTGGTTATTGACATTAATTGAGAAAAACAAACTTAGTAGCCTATTTTGCATACTTTGACTAGGATAATTTATATATGAGAGGTAGGTCATAAAATATAAATACTGTGCAACAGATTTTAGTAACTTTATTTTTCTAATGAAGAAGCAAATATATGTGTGTGTATGTGTGTGCAATAATTTATTTTTTGCAGGTTGTATACTTAGATGATTCTGTTTCTTCCTTCATACAAATCCGGGGATCTGTTCCATTGTTCTGGGAGCAACCAGGGTTGCAAGTAAGTGGCATTCAATTTTTTTTTCCTTGGAAATACTCTGTATTCTCTAAATTTGCAGGATAGTTCATTAATTCATTGATTGCTCTATTATCCTATCTAATAATATTACTTAGATTCATAAGTGAGGAGCTGCGAAGAGTCTTATCTTAGATATCTTCCTCTTTAACTTGCTTTCAAGTACTATATTACTGAGTTTTGTGTTACTGTAATGATATATCCTTGGCAAGGCAACTTTATAAAGAAGAGTTTCATTTTGGCTCATGGTCCTAGAGATTGAAAGTCTAAGATTTGGCAGCCCAAGATCTGGTTCGGCCTCTGGTCAAGACCTAATGCCAAAAGGCATTACTATAGCGGAAGTATATGAGTGGATGAAATCAGATCTTGGAGCCAGAGAGACAGTCAGAGTGCAGCTTGGCTTTTATAGCCACTTGCTCTTGCAAGAACTGACTCCAGAAGTCCCGCATTGCCTGCTGAGGACAGCTCTCTCAGTGCCTAAGGAACTCCCACTAGGCCCGACCTCCAGACCATTTCACACTGTCTCCTGACACTGCCACCTGGGAAATAGGCTTCCAACACTTGAATCTTTAAAGGAGAACCTACATTCAAGCCGTAGAATGTATCCATAGAATTTCAGCTGTTGTGTTGAGAAAATTTTGAAGTGTTCATAGTATATTAACTTTCAAAGTATTTTCGTATTTATTATCTTAGTATATAAGGATTAAGTTTCTTTGGGCAGAAGGATGTAATGGTTCAAATAAGCTTCTGTACCAAGACTACTACTACTTCTTTTTTTTTTTTCCTCAAGACTTCTTATTTGTGATCCCTACATTATCACTACTAGCTGTGTAGTCTTGGGCAAGTGATTTTGCCACTCTGTGTCTCAGTTACCTGATCTGTAAAATGGAAATGATATTCCTACCCTGAATAGTGTTGGGTACACAGCACTATGTAAGGGTTAGCTGCTGCTATTATCAATAATGTATTTGCTACTGCCAGGTGTGGTGGAACATGCCTGTAATCCGAGCACTCAAGAGGTTGAGGTAGGAGGATTGCCATGAGTTCAAGGCCAGCCTGAACTGCATAGTGAGACCTCATCTCAACCCCCCAATATATAAATATGTATATAAACATATATATATATATATATATGCTACTGTAATTTTTACCTTATAGTCTGTGATGATCTGTCATCTTTGTTATATTTTCTCACTTGCTTTCTAATAATTTTTAAGCATGCTTTTGTTGGTAAAAATGTCCAATCTTTAGGAGATTAAAAAAAAAAAAAAAGGTCATTATATTAGATTGTATGTTCCCAATAGTGTAATCTTGCATTTTAGTGTTGTTCAAATATCCCTAGGCCATAGAGTGTAAGTCATATTTATTTTAGCTTTGGGGTATATATAATTCTGTCTATATATATATGTTCTTCAGTCTATAGTTTTTGAAGGTTTTTTTGGTACTGGGGATCAAACTTGGGTCTTTGTGCTTGCGAGGCAGGCAGGGGAACCACTGAGATAAATCCCTGGCCCTTCAGTCTATAGTTTTGAAAAAAAGAATGGAAAAACTCTTCTCACCTCTTTAGCTTATTGCTGGGTCTCTGTTATATTCTAAATTGGCTATTGTGAAGAAAAATAAAAGACCATTCCAGTTTTTTCGGTAATGCAGTTTATTCAAGTTAGGTCAAGAATTAACCAACAGGGCTGGGGATTTAGCTCAGTGGCACCATGCCTGCCTCGAGAGCACAAGGTCCTGAGTTCAGTCTTCGGTTGAAGGGAGGGGGATTAACTAGCATTAGCACTGGTTTGCTGACTTTCTTTAGTTCGTGTCAAGACTTGTCTGACTAGTGTGGGCTTTATCGTCAGCTTTAAGGACGGGTTAGATAGATGTGTCTCTCCCTTAAGTCTCTTGGGAAAGAATCTCAGCCTAACCTCACCATTCCTAAACTTTTGAGATTAGCAGTGGATGTTTGGGATGTTTGCTGGTTTGATGCAAGTTGAATGCTTTTCTTTTGGTGTCAGACTAGTGTAAGAGATTCTGGTAGCCTATTTATGGGCCCTGTGTTAAACTGCTTTCTGTTATTTTATTATGTATTTCAGAATTACACTGTTTAATTACTCAGTAAATCAAATTCTGAGTAGTTTTACTGAGGGATCCTCTTTGGGTGAGAATTTCTTCCTTCTTCCTTCTCTTGTGTGCTTCAGCATCTTTACAGTTTGGCTGGCTAATGTCATGTACCTATGGGTTGAAAACTGTGGATTTTTAAGTTATGTATTTCTTTATAGTCATAATTTTTGAGACATTGAGACAGCTCAACAATTCTGCCAAATTGTCACTGTGCTGGCCTGTTGTTGACTTGGGTTGGATTGAGGATTGAGTCAGTGGTTTTTACAATTATTTACCTCAATAGTTTTTAACGTTAATCTTTCAATAGGAATGGATTCTTTCTTTGGGTATCTTTTATAACAAAGCATTTTCCCTACCATTCCAAAAGAGTGGTAATAAAGCAAAGAAAATATGATTGCTTTTTCAAAGACTGGGAAAAAGAGATCATTAATTTTTAAAAATAAAAACACCAAATCCAAAGATTTATTATTCCATAGATGGCAAAAAGGACTTTTATGACTTAGGGTGATTGTAAATGGTTATTAGGTGTTTTGTGTATTCTTGGGACTGGAATTTATGGAGAATCCTTAAATTAGTGTTGACTTTTGTGCCATGTCTCACTTTAGAAGTCATAACGGAATCCTTGACTTGCTTCTTCATGATTAATTCCACTGTGGCTCTTTCATTGAAAGATAAAAAGAGTCACCTAAAGTGATTTTACAATGCAGATTTTCACCTGAAATTTCAGATCAGCTGAATCAGAATCTTTTGAAATGGGGCCAGGATTCTGCATTTCAACTGGGTTCCCTTCCACTCAAAGTTGAGAATGTCTGTTGTCCAGGTTCTTACTCTGATGACTTGAATCAGCCAGGCCTGGGCAAGCAAAAGTGTCCTAATATTCTTCCAGACATTGAAACTTTCCATTTCTTTTTATTCCCTCTTCTGTCATCTCAGTAAGATCTTCATAATTTCTTAGAGTCTTAAGGATTCTCAGTTTCCTTAACAGGAAACTATAGGCTCTGCTTCCTGCCAGCTCTCTTACAGGTCTTTCCACTTTTGATGTATTAGGCTCATCAGATCTACTGAGCCCTCTTCTCGTAATGTAGTTTACTCACATTTCATGCCTTGCTGTTTTCTGAGAGGAATTCTCTATTTCAAAATTAAGGTGGTTGTTCTTCAGCAGCCAATGCAGAGCTCATTGAATGGTCTCCAGTCACCCTTCCATGCTGACCTTTTTTTCATTTAGTACTTGAGTTCTGCCAGTGTGTATTATTTTATACCAGTTGCTGTGAGATACTTAGAGACTATAATGATGCTTACAGACAGCATGCAGTCTTTTTGGGGAGTCAGGCCTAGTAGAGAAATTGTAAACTACAGTATGAATTCCTTTTAAGTTTTATAAAGTTGTCATAAACGGCTTCACAAGTGAGAATGATATATATATTTTTTAAGTTTTGGCAACTCATTTATGATTCTTTTTCTCTGAAGTTCTTTGGCATTTATAATCTGTAGTATTAGTCTCACATATTACTGTTATATTACAATGTTATATTAAAATATGGAAAACCTAGCCAGGGCATGATGGCACACGCCTATAATCTCAGCACTCTAGGGGGCTGAGACAGGAGGATCACAAGTTTGAGCAACTTAATGACTTAGTGCGACCCTGTATCAAACTAAAACATAAAACAGGGCTGGAGATGTAGATCAATGTAAAAGCCCTGGAGTCAGTTTCCAATACCACCAAAAAAAAAAAAAAAAAAAGGAAGGGAGGAAAGGAAAGAGTAAACAAGAAAGAAAAGGTAAACATGATGAGATTATGCCTAGTTCAGTGCTACATGCTCAATTTTGGGTTGAAGTTTCAAAAATATGTGAACATAAAGTAGTGATAGTGATAGAAATGATACTCTATACCACTCTATTAATTTTTTATTTTTAAATTAAATTTAATTTGGGGTAAGGGAAAGGGTCTCACTACGTGACCTAGGCTGGCTTTGAATTTGTAATCTGCCTCAGCCTCCAGAGATTTGGGATTACAATTGTATGTTACTGATATAGGGGAAAATATAACAAAAGCATGTTGGGGAAAGGATGGGTCCGGATGCTGTAGTCACCCCCCTGGGTGACTGACATCTAGCTGGACTTTACTGGGCCAGATGATACCAATTATAGTATAATTCCAAGTTACTCCTTATCCCTTAGGGTAGGCCTGTAGGCCTGGCTGTTACATTTTTGTCTTGAGGCCTGGTGATCTTCAGATGCCTCCAGCAACAATTCTGATGTCTTTATTTTTCCTGCTGACTTCCTTGGGAGCTCAGTCCCTCTCTGGCTGTATATTAATTTATATCTAACTTAGCTGCCTATAATACTACTGTGCCTGAATCTAATACTTTAAAAAAATAATAACCTTGATGCAACTTTTTTTTCTTTAGGTAGATTTGTGGTTAAGACTTTAAAACTTTCTAGAGTTCTTCTTTTATCACAATTCACAATAGCTGTTTTATTATAGAATTTTTCCAATAATGCTGAGTAATTAAACCTAGTTTGAGCAAGCCAATCTATTGTTCAAAAGCTTTGATATGTAGCTAGAAATGTTTTTGTGTTGGGGAGAAGAGTAGTAGGGAACAACCACAGGGTTTAATAAAAAACAGGAGAATTGTACTTTTCTACCTTGATAGTTACAACACTATACAACATAAATATTGACAAGGTAAATTTTTGTAGTGTTAAGGCAGTTTTTGTAGACAGACCTTTTATAGTGTTATAGGTTGTTAAGAAAAAGTATCAACTTCTGTTATTTTTCTCTAGTCTAAATTGCTTAATGCCTTGGAGTATACATTTTTCAAATTTAATGAAGGCTATTAAGTAGCATAAAATGAAATTGAATCTGATGATTCAGTTTATCCAAATGTGAATCTAGGTTAGTCTAATCAATTTCTTATTAAAAAGAAAAATAGATAATTACTACTTAGCAGGACAGTCATTATATTGACATAGGTCAGGGAGGGAAAATAGTGATAATACTTTTAATTCAACTTTGAAATTGTGTAAGCACGTTAGAGCTTTTTTTTTTTTTTTTTTGATGAAAACTTTCCTCCTACACTCTTATTTAAACCTACTTCATTCATAGATTAGCAAGAATGAATTCTGGGAAATTTTGATCCCAAAGTCTCAGAAATATTTGGAAGTTCAAACTGGTCTCAATTTGTGTTTCTTTTTGGCATCTGTTAGAGCTTTCTCAATCCTGCCTCATCTTTCTGCTACTTTACTATGTGAGAAAAGAAAAGCTAGCAATACATAGTAGGTAGATATTTTTTATCTTGTTCATTTCACTTAACCCAAAATTTCTAATTTTGCAAAATGTGCTGATTTATAGTTGTGTGACCGTGAGATTGTCTTGGAAAGTCTGTTTTTCCAGGAAGGAATGATGGTTTTAATTCTCTGCAGCTTTTTGTGATGGAGAGGGACTAGAGTATTCAGCATAGCAGAGAAAAAGACACGTGGACATTGTAGTGGTAGACTGGTTGGAAGAGGAGAAATTTAGGTCAAGAGACAAAGACAACTCATCTGAATCTTTTGGAATTAGTCACACAGGTTTAAGAGGGAAAGTAAATCTCTTCATTTACACAGGTCATGTAGTTTGAGCTGAAAACAAGGTAATATATATGAAAGCATTGAAAATATTTTTCATTGAGAAGTTACTATTCCTTTACAAGTATATTATAATAGTGTAACTTGAACTTTTTAAATGGGACTGCTTTTTAGCAAAAAGCAAAGGGGAAATTCTTAGAGCTTTTTAAGAAAATACTATCGTGAAGGAAAAATCACTTGTTTGATTTACTTACATGTGTTCAGCAAATAAATTGTTACATACATCAAGCATATATTTCTTTTGTCCTCATGTTGGTTTTTGGTATGATGAAATTTGTTTTTCTTGTCTAAGGTGGGATCACATCGTGTCCGTATGTCAAGGGGTTTTGAAGCCAATGCACCTGCATTTGACAGGTAGGCCTCATTATTTGTACATAGTGCCTTACTTTTTGATATTTCTAAGAGTATGACTAGTTATATTTACCAATTCATTTAAATGTCTTTTAAGGAGCCGAGGATTTAGCTCAACAGTTCCACTGCCTGCCTTGCAAGCACAAGGTCCCAAGTTCAATCCCTGGTACCAAAAAAAAGACTCCATCTCCATTAAAAAAAAATGTCTTGTAGCTCTATGCAAAATTGCTTCTGATTTCTAATTCAGCTGGAGGACTGTGATTCCTAGTGTATTGACTTTTAGGGGTGATAGTTCTGGAAGTGTGGATCTTGATCTCTTGAGCTTAAAACTTCCTATCTGTGTTGTCCACTGTGGTATCCATTAGCTATATGTAGCTACTGAGCGCTTGAAGTGTGACTAGTCCAAGTGAAGATGTGCTGAAAGTAGCAAATGCACACTGAATTTCAAAGACATAGTACCAAAAAAAATGAAAAAAATCTCAAGATTTTCTTTATAAATATAAATTTTTGAAAATTTAAAATTATAGATGAGTCTCACATTGTATTTCCTTTGTATGTCATTGCTATATACCAGTGGTGGGAACCTATGGCACGTGTGGCGCAGCGGGCTGTTTGTATCATTGAAAGCTCTAAAAGGTTGCTGCACTGTATATAGTAGTCTCTTGTCCTTGGGATATATTTCAAGACCTCCCCAAGTGGATCCCTAAGACCTTGTACTGTACATACTGTATGCATATGTCTTTTCCTAAATATACATGTGTTAAAGTTTAATAATTAAGCACAGTAAGAGATTAACAATAAGAACTAAAAATAGAACTATTGTAACATTCTATAATAAAAGTTGAATGTGGTCTCTCTCTGAGTCAAGACAGCATTAGTGTTTTCAGACAATGATTGACCTCAGTTACCTGAAACTGTGGCAAGTGAAACCACAGAGGAGGGGAGGACTGTTGTATAGCCTCTGAATGGCTGGAGGCTAGAGAGGAAAAAACTCCTTTGGGGCCTGTTTTTCAAAGGCTAGAGATGTAAAAAGGTCGCTCTGAATACTTGTGGAATAGGTGACCTCCTGTGTGAGGTACTGGCCTTCCCACACTGCCCCTACTGCATGTTCTGCTATGCTGATGTCTGTGTTCTGCTGTGTCTGATGCCAGCACCCCAGAGTGGGATGCTCCAGCATGGTATGAGGAGTCGCACTGTGTGTAAGTCAGAGAGGAAGTGCATTAACTGAGTTTCAATCAATTCCAAGTTTTGAGAACATGTAGAGTAGCTATGTACCAATTTGGCAAGTTCTGTGACTTTAAGTACTACCACCTAGGTTCTTTTTAAACCTAGGATGGATTCTTCTTGTTTACTGAAAAAGAAATAGCCTTATCTTTTGATATATGCTTATTTCCTTTCTTTAATAGGCATTTTAGAACACTTAAGAATTTGTATGGCAAACAAATAATAGTAAATTTACTTGGATCAAAGGAAGGTGAACATATGCTAAGTAAGGCTTTCCAAGTAAGTATGGTCATTTCTTCTTCCATTCTGGCCTAAGGTCACCTAGAATAGTATAATGATAATCAGATTCTCCTAGGAAGTACATTATTTCCTGGGGAAAAGATGAGCTAACTTGTTGAAACCTGTAACTCTTTGGAGCTATTAGGATTGAGTTTATGTATGCTAGGGCTTCTGAAGTTGGAAATATGGAAAACTTTCACGACAGTTGACATTGTTTTCTAATCTGTTTATTAATATTGTGCAGAGGCATAAAAATATCTCTTCCATAAATGTTCACATCACCAGTAGATAATTATCAGCCAGTTTCCTTCTTTATTGCTTTCCGTACTTCCTAGACACCATAGTCATTGTTCTAAAACTATGAAATGGTCAATAATACATTTGTGTCTGTGCAAAACTGTACCTTCCTGCATTGAGAGAAAACTTAAATACAAAGAACTCAAAAAATGTATGACTTCTAAAGAAAAAATACAAAATACTTTAATAAACGAGTCAGTAATGAATTAAGATAAAGTATGATATTATGTAAGATTATAAATTTAACACAGAATGGTTAAGAAACATTTTCTGTTGTTCATTCTCATTAAATCTAAAAGTAATCTAATTGTTTAACTATTTTTGTAATCTTGTGAAATGAATATTGTTAATAAACTTAAAAAATGTATTGAATGAAAGTATAAAAAACTTTCCTCAGGCTTTGTGTTAAAAATAAGATACTTTATTTTGAGATTCTGTAATAGATATAAATAATTATTAAATTTTTATTGTAAAAATAAAATACTGATGATTGGAAATATTTTATTCTTTAAACCAGACCAGAATATTATTTAGGGTCCCTGATGTTAATTATTGTCACTTGGTCTCTCTGGGATAGTGTAAAAATTTTAGAGAATGGATGTCATCTATCAGCAAGAAATTTTCCATTTTACTACCAGTGTTGATGAAAGCTTTGTGGAATTAATGAAGTTTCAAGGGGCCAGCTAAAGTTTAATTTAAAATGTAAAGTTCAGGTTGGGGATGCAGTTCAACTTTCCTAGCACACATCGGACCCTGGGTTCAATCCCCAGCACCACAAAAAAGAAAAAAGAAAATGAAAAAATGTAAAGTTCCATTTATAGCATTATATCCTTAAGGTCAAGTAATAATTAGATAATTTTTTGTCTTTTTACTTTAAGAGTCATTTGAAAGCTTCTGAACATGCTGCAGATATCCACATGGTGAATTTTGACTATCATCAAATGGTTAAAGGAGGAAAAGCAGAAAAATTACATAGTGTTCTTAAACCTCAAGTCCAGAAGTTTCTAGATTATGGATTTTTTTATTTCGATGGAAGTGAGGTTCAAAGGTTTGATGACAATTTCTCTGTTCTTTAAGTTGGAACTTTGCTATAACTTAAGTCATTCTTAGTATTGAACTCTTAAGTTTCCTTTCTAAACTTTAAAATATCTTTTTTATGCTTGGTTTTAGGCATTTCTTCCTATAGGATTCAACAAATAAGAATAAATTTCATTATTGAGCAAACATTATGGGACTAGCAGTCTTTATTTGTATCAGTAACAATGAGTAGAAGACTAGGTTCTGTTACTATGCCTTTTTACATTTGAGAACATTGAAACATAGACATAGTCTACTGCAAGTCATGTAACCTGGAAGTATTATCGTTAGGATTCATCTGGTTCCAGACCTCATGCTGTTAGGTCTGGAACTATTCCACTTGAGTTTTAAAACTAATGGAAACAAATAAAAAACATTGCTTTAACTAAATTGTTTTAAGATATGCCTTCTAATTTAAATCTTTAGTTGTTTTTTTTTAAATCTTTAGTTTTTGCTTGTGAAACAGGAAAAAACAAGTTTGAAAGATTTAATTTCAGAATACAGGCTGAGGTATAAACTTTTTGTTTTGTTTTGTTTTGTTTTTTTATTTTGGTACCAGGGATCAAACTCAGGTCCTTGCGCTTGCAAGGCAAGCGATGGAACCACTGAGCTAAATCCCTGGCCCTAAACTTTTGTAAACAAAGCTCAAACTTTTTATTTTTTCAATTTGTATATTTTATTTAGTATCAATGCCATATGCAAAGAACTGTGAGATTATAAATCTGAATGTATATTTAGCTCCTAAACTACTGGTCTAATTAATAGTAAGTGTGTGATGGATTTGTGATAAAGAGCACAGGGCAAAATGTTAACAGATACAGAACCTAGGTGGTAGATATATGGATGTTCACAGTATAATTCCTTCATCCTTTTGGTATGTTTGAAAATTGTGATAATAGAAAGTTGGAGGGAGAAAGTGGTGCTCCATTTTAGTCACCTCAGTTCTCAGTTTGATATAGCTTTATTTTTGCCACAAACCAGCTATCTAACTTTATTGAAACTGTTACAGGTGCCAGAGTGGTACAGTTCGAACAAACTGCTTGGATTGCCTTGATAGAACAAATAGTGTGCAGGCATTCCTTGGCTTAGAGGTAAAATAAATTAAAATGTCTGTGTTTTGTGCCATATGCCTCTTTGAGTGTTTCTCTCATAAGTTACTTTTCAGAAAATACGGATGAAATTATGCTTCATTAAAACTTTTTTTTACTTCTAGTCTCTTTTTGGGGAGGTCAAAGTTCATTTTGAGTTAAATGTTTTCTTTATCTATCCTTCGTATTCTTTCTGTAGCCAGCTGTTTTATTCTAGTGCCTCTGTTAAACACTGGTATTTATTCTAGTGCAGTAATTGCTGCTTTTGAATATTTCTTGAAAAAAAATATGTATTTGGCCTTAATTCTGTGTGTTGTCTCTTAAAAATCTGTTTTAGATGGGGAGGGTCTGTCTTCACATGTACAATCCTGTAGGATTATTTTTTTGACAGTTTGTGACTTAATCCAGTTTGTTTGGCATTTTCAATGAGTACCTACAAAAAAGAGGATTGGATGAAAATGCCACAGTTAGAATGAGATTGAATGAGTTTCAACTTCTTACGAAGTTTTTGCCTAAAAGTTGTTTTTTTTTCTTTACTGTTTATCCATCAAATTTAAATATAATGTAAATATAGTTTTAACTATTTGACAGACTTTGTGGCAATACTGAGTTTCCTGAGTCTTCTGTATTGTACAAATTAGGATCATAAGGCTGTGTGGATTTTCAGTTCCTTAAGAACTTAATATAGTCAGCTGGGCATGGTGGCGCACACCTTGTAGACCTAGCACTCAGAGGTTAGGGCAGGAGGATTGCTGTGAGTTGGAGACCAGCCTGGGCTATGTAGTGAGTTCAAGGCCAGCTTGAACTACATAGCAAAAAACCCTCAAAAACAAAACAAAAACAAACAACTTAGCATAGTTCTCAAGTACTATAAAAACAGGAATAGGAAACAACTGTTCTTTTATTCTTTAATGATCCTAAACTTGGCCAGAGCATTTGTTAGCTAGCTATTCTGTAGCTCAGCTTCTGTCTCAAAACTGAAGTAAAAGCCAGGCATGGCAGTTAGTACATGCCTGTAATCCTAGTACTCTGGGAAGCTGAGATAGGAAAGTGGCAAGTTTGAGCCTAGCTTAGGCAATTTAACAACCTGTAGAGACCCTGTCTCAACAACTTTACAAAGAGATAGGGGTGTAGTTCAGTGTGAAGTCCCTGAGTTTAATCCCCAGTACTATTTTTTTAAAAAGTGTATAAAATTCTCTGCAGAAATATATTTTTTATGTAACTAAATAAATTCTACTGTTTTGTTTTTTAAATCTGTCATTGAAGTTTGCCATTATAATTTATTTAGAAAACATATCATAGATGAGAAGTGCAAGAAGGCATGTTGGTTATTTAGATGGAGTTTATCACATGGCTCAAGTGTATTTCAGCTTTTGGTTTTAAGTGGCTGGATGCAATTACATGGATTCTGTGTAAGCTTATTGAAATACTTGAAACTCAGTAAAAGTAGAGCAGGTGTTAGTTTTCAGGATCCACCTTAGCTGACTTTCACTACTGGTAGTTAGATGTGAGAATACAATAGCATTTGGTTGGCTGGTTACAAAATTTAATAAGATAGGCAAAACTAAACTAATAGTGAAGTAAAATCAGTTTTGCCCATTTCCTTGAAGAGAGAAGAGTTTAAATGATTAAAGAGGTTCTGGGAGCTTATTTTGTTAATTACTCTGTTTACTAACAAAGAACAGCTCTGGTATAATCTGTAGGTAATAAATGAGCCTATTTGAGGTTAACATTAGTTTTCATTCTTTATAATTATGGATAATCTTACTTAACACATAAAAAATAAATGGGAAGGAGTTAGGTAAAAATGCAAGGGATGGCATATGACTGGAGAAACAGACTGGATACCAATTACATCTTGCTTTGACTCTGCCAAATTTCAGGGCTAGAAACTGCAAAGGGAAGATGGGTAACTTTTCTGAACACGCATGGTTAGTTGGGATGAAGGAATTGTGGTGACCCAGAAGTCCTTCAGTCTCTTGCAGCCTGGGTTCCTTCCGATTCTCCTTTGTACACAGTACCAATAAGATTTTATATGTAAAGAGCCATCATGACTCTGTAGTCAGGATATAATGTATTTTCTTTATTTTTGTAACAATTTAACAGCAACTCCCTTTCCTCATAATCTCTTGATCTTCATTACCCAAATTTAGAGAACCAAATCCAGAAGTTAAAGAAACTGTCATTTCTCTATATATTTAGGTAAATTAGATTATTTTTCTTGGTTGAAATGCAAGCTAGTGATTCTTTAGGTCATTTGGGTGAGCAAGGTAAACTAGTCTAATTTATAAGGACACTTTAAAATTAATTTTATCATTTAACCAGAAAGAAGTTCTCTAAGGGAATGTTAAATTACTAGCCATTTTCATTGATGTAGCATTTTCTTTAAAAATTGCAGTGGTGGAAAAATAACACATATAGCCTAGTAAAGTGTTAATATTTTCAAAGTCCAGTCTGGTAATTGTCCTATAAATGTAAATTTTTTATTCTATTAGTCACATTATGATTAATATATTATTATATTTATAAAATTTCTCATTTTCTGTTTTAGATGCTAGCTAAACAGTTGGAGGCTCTCACCTTGGCTGAAAAGCCTCAGTTGGTGACTCGCTTTCAAGAAGTTTTTCGGTCCATGTGGTCTGTGAATGGCGATTCAATCAGTAAGATCTATGCAGGCACTGGAGCTCTTGAAGGGAAGGCTAAGGTAGATCCAGATCTGTTATACATTGCCAAAGATCATCTTTTTCTTCTTTTAATACAGCTTTTCAATGACCTTTTTTAAACTAATAGGTTTTTTTTAAGTTAAGATGTATCTATTTTAGAATTCAGTTTTACTATGCTTTTTTTTGTTGCCTTTGAAACTTCCTTCTACAGTAGATACTACTGATTAAATGAAATGTAGAAAATTCCTTAAGTTTGGGGGTGTAGATATATGTGACATATTTAGTCATTAAGTGATAAGCCACTGTATTTGTGTTGCTTGTTTTTTATGGTTTTCTCACTTTTCTGTTATTCTTTTTAGATTCTTTTTTTTAATAGAGCCCAAATGATTTACTTCTTTTTAATGTTTTTATTCTACATAAATTACTACCATAGACTAAGGTTTAAAAAGCAAATAAATTGGACAGATGCAGGACAAATCTGTTCACCCAACTATAAGAAGTGATGCTTTTAAAAACTTACAATGAATGCAGAAGTGTTTGATGCATGCAGTAGCCTTAAATGGAAAGCATTGATTCCCACTGTTCCAAAAAAGAAAAACACAGAAAAACCCACACATCTTACTGCACTCCACCTTAAAATGCATCGTGTTGGGCTTGTTTATAACAGCACAGAATTCCAAGAGTCAAAATGAAATAAAGGAGGTATTTTAAAGATTTAAGAGCCGATATCAAAAATAAATTATATTTTTTCAAGGTACAGAAATGCTGCTATGTTGGCTGAGAGCCCAGTAACCTTTCAATGACCACATTGATGTCACCTCCTGTTGTTATCAGTGCTTGCAAGTTTGCTTCTTGGTTCAAAAATCCCATTGCGGGCCGGAGATTTAGCTCAGTGGTTTCGCTGCCTGCTGTTCAAGCACAAGGACCTGAGTTCGGTCCCCAGTACCAAAAAAAAATCCCATTGCACTGAGCTGTTCCAGTTGTTGCTGAAATCTGACTTCTGTATACTTTTTAGATTCTTGATGTTGCTTATAAATATAATTTTTTGACAACAGTTCTCTTAATAAAGTGTCCTGTCTCACTTGGTTTTGTGTCCACTGCATTTGACACAGTGCCTGCTATTTAATAGAAATGTGACAAATGCTGGATGAACAAATAAGTCTACTGACAATTCATATAATACCTACTATGAACTCAACCTTACTGGGGCATAATTGTTGAGTTTTTATCCTTTTACTTATTTTAACCTGAGAAGAAAGCTGTCAGAATGTGCCTAAGATGTGTGAGATGTGAACCTAATTATAATTTTGAGTCTCATCATTACTTTTCAATTGCTGGTATTGTCTATAGACTACTTTCCCTTCTAGTATTGCCCATAACTGTGGGATTTTAGGACTGTACTTGGGATTTTTTTCACTATTCTATTTTTATACTTAAATATTGTTAAACTTTTTAAGGGATCTTGATCTCACTTGAATTTATTAACATTCTAAATCTCTATACCCCCTCACATATTTCAGGAATAGAAATGAGAATATTTACTACTTTATAATTCTCACTCAGCTTCTTTAATATAGCAGCTGACATTTTGTAAATACCATTTGTCATCTCCAAGTCTTCCTCACTTTCCAGATCTTCTGTGTCTTCTGCATCTCATAAATTCTTATGGGCAGAGGCCAGGCCTCTGCCCGTAAGAATTGGCCTTACCTGCACAGTTCCTTCTGTTCAGCTCTTAGGAGTAATTTGTATTGGCTTTTGCAAATATTTACTTCTTACATGCTTCCTATTTTGAAAACCTGAAATGGTTAAACATTCATTTATTCCTTTTAGATAGAGAACATAATTCTCACTGTTAAAAGCTGATTCTCTGTAACTGTTGCTTTAAAGTATTCTTTTATAGTCTTCTGCCTTTTTGTTTCTTTTGTGACTAAGACAATATATGTACAGAGATAACATATATTTTCAGTGGTCTTTTACCTTTAACGAATAGATATAAAATCTTTATTAAATATACTAGTCTGAATTGAGCTAAAATCTAACATCTGAACTGCTTTCTTTTCCTTTCTCTGGGTCCCTTTTGATTAATTGCCTGATAATGTGAATGGTGAGTGTTTTTTCAATAATTCGTGTATGTTATCATGTGGAAGGGAAAGAACATTTAATGCCAAATTTAAATAGCTGATTAAATATAACGGCATTCATTTGGTGGCATTTAAGAAAATTGCCTCTTTAGGCCCGGGGATTTAGCTCAGTGGTTCCATTGCTTGCCTTGCCAAGTGCAAGGACCTTAGTTTGATCCCTGGTACCAAAAAAAAAAAAAAAAGAAAAGAAAATTGGCTCTTTATTCTGAAGTGTCTAATTACTATTATTTCTTTAGGGGATTAAAAATTACATATTGCAAACTAAATTATTTTCTAAAAGGCAAGAGATTTTTTAAAAATTGGTAATGAAAATCTGTAAGATCAAAATAAATCTTCTTTGTAATAACCAGTATGCCTAAGTAAAATATGTTTATTAGAAGTTATAATTAACTCATTGTAATAAGTTTTTATTAGTTGTATAGGCAACAAAATGACAATATACAAACTGAGTTAACATGTAATATTGAGAGCTATAATTGTAAATTTCTTGTCAGACCTTCAGTCTTAGATTAAGCTTTAGTTTTAACTAATATAAGTTATTTGGGGGCAGTTTTATTTTTCTACTGTCAAAGTAACTTGAAGCTTTTCTGGGATCCTGTAACTTCAGTATATGACCCTTCATCTCTTCTACCTCTCTCCACCCATTCCATCCCCACCTCTAAAACTAACAGTGTAAGAGGAATTTCCTTGTTTTAAATCAGGACATATCTGTTTATTTTCTTTGCAATGAACAATTTTAACATTTACTGCTCGAAATAGCACTATTGGATATAGTTGTAGTGCTTTGTGAAGAACTGGTATCCAAAATGGGAAACAGTGATATCTTGAGGCCTTTTAATGTGGGTTATAAATTCAAACTATAATGATTAGGTCATTTTTTACACTAAAATCATATAAAACCGATTTAAAGTTGTGCAATCAGCTGTGTTTAGAATAAAAAGCTAATGCTCCTTTGTCCCTCAACAGGCTGGAAAGTTAAAAGATGGTGCTCGTTCAGTCACCAGAACAATTCAGAATAATTTCTTTGACAGTTCCAAGCAAGAGGCCATTGATGTCCTGCTACTGGGAAATACTCTCAATAGTGACTTAGCTGACAAAGCTCGAGCACTTTTAACTACTGGGAGCTTGCGTGGTATGCATGCTTACTTTGTATTTTACCTACTTATTGTTATTTATGATCCTTCTAAAAGTCTAAGAGGTACATGTAAACTTATTTACATAAATACTTTTTAGATTATAGTTGATTAAAATAGTTTTAAAAGGAATTTCTGTAAAGGTGATTTTTAAAAAATGGCATTCTCCAAAGGAAGTTTGTCTCTTAAAATATTTATATTATAAACTGGCTAAAGATTTTCTTATATAGATTATGATTGAGAATAGTTTTAAGTATTGCTAACTTTACAGTTAGGATTTCATAGAATATTCAGCTAGCACTTACAATAGAATATCCACTAATCTCATTTTATAAAAATGCTTTATTGACAAAAACCAGTACCTATAATGATTATTTTTCTAATCCCCATCCCAAATATTTCTGTAACATGGTCTTAACTTTTAGTTGTTATTGTTTTAAATAAATATTAAATCACATTAATTAATAATTTAAGATAGTTTTATTATTGGCCACTAACCACTATTAGCAGTTTTAATATCTGAAATAAGTATATGGTTTTCAAGATAGCTTTTTACCTTTCTTTATATATCTTTTATTCATATAAACGATTTGAGCTCGTGTCAGTGAGCACATAAAAGTAGTATTATGAGAAAACTCCACATTTATTATAGATGTAACAGATTGGACTTTCTTCCTCCCAGCTTTTTAAAGGTATACTTAAAAACTAAATTAGACTTTCTTAACTGTGTTTTTTTCCATTTTAACTTCATAGCATTATGAACCTTTTTTTTCCATTTGTCCCAAATCAAACCTTGTATTCCCTCTTTCAAATGGAGGAAAATTGTTCCTACATAACACAGTTTCTTCTCGATAATTATTTGGCCAAATAGGTGGCCATGGACTCTTAGAATTCCACATGGTGTTCTGAAGGTAGTTAGTTACAGCCAGCTAATTGGGATCTGTTAAGTAGGCTGAGGGACTGAGACCTACTCAGACTCAAAAACACCTGATCTTGGCTACTACTTTCAACTTCAGGCTTTCTTTCTGGCTTCCAAAAGAAGACTGACTGATTTGTTTTGTCACCTCTTTCCACCTGGCCTACTTTGATGTGGAGGTTTTAATAAGCAACAATTGAAAGTAAGTGGTTGAAGGACAGAAGCAAAGTACCTAAGTAATTCCCAAACTTGAGCATCAGTTTTTTTTTTTTTAGTTTCCTGCACATTTTACTATATGTAAAATATGCCTTTAAATTTAAAAAATACAGTCAGTTCTGCTATAACGCTTGTTCTGAGCTTGGGAATTTGTTCCAACATGGTTGATATATTAGGGAGTGATTGAACATAATGCCAGTTTTGCATGAGCTTATACTTGATTTTGCTGGCAAGCAACATTAGGTAAATACAAAAAATTGTACCCAACAGAACCAAGATGGGTACACATATAAATGCTCATACACATATATACTCACCTTACACATCTTCCCTACCCCAGTTTACCGCATGTGTTATTGAGCCATACCCACCTACATCTGATGTTTCAGTTTTCCATCTGTTTTCTGATAACTCCGCTCACATCATTCATTATTCACAATTATTATTCCCATCTGGTGGCCATTTCTACAAGCCTACTTCATATTTTTATCAAGATAAAGTGCCTTGTTTATTGTAGCATTCATGCATTCATAACCATGTAAGACGCATAATGCTGTGCTGCTTTATTAAGTTCTACCTTTGGTGTGTCACTATTGAAGTTTTTTTTTTTTTTTTTTTTTGGTACCGGGGCTCGAACTCGGGTCCATTGCCCTTGCACAGCAGGCGGCGAAACCACTGAGCTAAATCCCCGGCCCCGAAGTTTTTGAATATGGTGCCCCAAACCCATTTTTCCTATTAGCTTCATGGCTATGGGAATTTGCACAAATTTGCATAGTGTGTGGTTTTTAGAATGTGTATGTTTTGTTATAGCTGAACTGATGGTACTTACCAACTGGTGAGTCACAGAAAAAAATTAATAAAAGTATATAGTAGGATAGTACCTTCCATATCTTCAGTATCCTTTAACCTCTTAGGTTTTCACAATCATGTCCTCACTCACACATGTGCATATGGAAACACACAGACACAGGAGCAGCCAAAAGAGCAGTTGTAGGAACTTCTGATTGTGAAACTGAGTCACTGTAGAGTTTCCTTGAATATAGAAGGTTTGTATCAGTTATTGTCATTTATTTGTAGTTGTTGGTGTCCTATAGCCATCAGAAAAAAAATCAACTTATCAAATTGATTTAAAAGAAAGAAGTGAGCCATCTCAAAATGTTTTGTCATAGCACTCTAGCGTTTAACTGTAACTTGTTGTCTTACTAATGATTCTTTGTTTTCTTCTTGATGCATCCATAGTTTCTGAACAGACATTACAGTCAGGTACAGTATAGAAAATCAATCTATAAATAAAAACAATTTTTTCTTTGTTTTCTAAGGTTGATATTGTATACAAATAAAGAGGTATAACTGGAAACTTTGACTTTGTCCTCAGAATCTAATAAGATAATTGATATTTTTTACTGAGAAAAACATTTTAAGTTTGCAGAAATTAAGTATTTTATTCAGAAGGAAATATGCTGTCCTCTTTATGTTCCTGCATCAAAAGCTCAATTACAATTAAAAATAACTAGTTTTTATTTCACTTTTGTATTGCTTTGAACGAACATTATTAATTTTATACCTTATTCTTAATTAGCTACTGGAAGAAACCCCAGTATCTATTTCATATTAATTTCAGAGTATAGCTGTGCTATATATGACTACTCAGTAGAGTTTCTTACACACAATATATAAGAAAACATTGTCTCATTTTCTTATTTTATTTGTTTTGTTTTGTTTTTGTTTTTGGTACTGGGGATCGAACTCAGGTACTTGCGCTTGCGAGGCAGACAGGGTAACCACTGAGCTAAATCCCCGGCCTATTTTCTTATTTTATTAATAACATATTTTCTGGAACTACAGATCTGCACTGAAATACGATCTGAAATCTTTTAATTTTAAAAAGCGCCAAGATGACTAACAAAATCAGAAGAGTTAAATGTATAAGATATAAAAGTTGCTAGGAGGTGGTGTTATACAGTTACAGTTCCAGCTCCTCAGAAGGCTGAGGCAGGAGGACTGCACATTCAAGGCTAGCATGGGCAATTTAGCAAGACCCTGTCTCAAAATAAGAAGGGCTGAGGATGTGGCTCAGTGGTAGAGCTCTCGCCTAACATAGGCAAGTGCCTGGATTCAATCCCTAGTGCCAAAAAAAAAGACTTACAGTTTTTCTTGGCCACTTATTCATAGGAATCTCATCTCTTTATTTTCTGGACAAGGTTTATGATTTTGTCTTAAAAGATAAATTTGTGACTATATGAACAAACCTTGACAGAAGTGTCACTGAAAATGACATATTTTCTTCTCCTTAAAATTTGGTATCACTTATGATTTGTTTTGCCTACTTATTGTTCTGAATCTTTTGAGAGGCTGTCAGTTATTATGGTTGTTATAGAAGAGTAGGAAAGAGAGCACCTGGCTATGTTCTTGTGTTATGTAACGAACACCATTTTCTGAAATGAGACAGTATGTAGGGATGGGTGTCTGTCTGAGCACAGACTCACACCTTTAAGCACATAAAGGTTCCAATGAGTTAAAAATAGAGTAAGAATTTTATATATATATATATTTTTTAAATGTTTTTGTTTTAAAACCATTTGACTTTATTACTTTATACAGTCAGGCCAACTGTTTTTATTCATGTTGTTCTTTACTATCTTGCCAAGTATTTTAAGCTGTTTGATCATAGAACTTACGTCTTCACATAGAATAGAATATAGATGCCATTTTTATAGTATTAACAACAGCCCCGCCTCCCTTACAAGCACAAGATCCCTGGTCCAAAAAAAAAAAAAAATAGCAGTGGCTTTAATTTTAAAGACTAGTGATAAACCATAATAATAGAAGATGATTTTTATCTAATTACAGTTGGCTTTCAATTAGCCATACTAACAGGCCAGAACAAATAATCTGCTTTTATAACCACCCACACTTTCTGTAAATAATCAAATAGCAAGAGGGTGAGAAATCTGCATAACTTCTCTTAGGAACAGTGGGGACATGGCTGTCCTCCTAATCTGAGGGTCCACAGTTCAAAGGTACATTCATAATAATATTAAAGTGTTACTTTTCTCCTCTCATTTTCTCAAGTGACTGCTGTTTATTCGTATCATAAAATAATAAATATCACAGTAAAGGAAGATTATATGACAAAAAGTGAAAGATTTGATTTCCTTTTCTTTTTACCAGTTAATTGCCAATTAAGTACAAAGTCTGTGTTTTTAGGTCAAGGTATTGTTAGGGTTCCCTTCACTTGTAAGTGCCAGTGTGGAGTGTGGCTTAGAAGGAGAAGAGAGGGGTGGTAGACAACAAATATGCAGGAGAGAGACCAAAGATTCAAACCATATTGAACATTTATCCATTTAACAGTTATGCATGAAGGCTCACTTTGGACCAGGTACTCTTTTTGTTACTAGGAATATTGCAGTTAACAAAACAGATCAACATGTCTACTCTCCTCAAGCTTCCATTGTCATGAAGGGAGATAGTTACAGGAAAAATAAATACAATATTACAGCTTGAATATCTCTCATCTGAAATATTTAGGGCCAGAAGTGATTCAGGTTTCAGTGTTTTTTGGATTTTGGATATTTTCATAGATTTTCCTATTGAGCATCCCTGATCTGATACTCGAAATGCTCCAGAATCCTGAACTTTTGGAGCATCATGTTGGTGCACAAAATTGTTCAGATTTTGTATTTTCAGATTAGAGATGCTCAGCCCGTACATAGTTTGTAAATATGATAATGCTGCAGAGAAAAATAAGATGATAATGGAGAATTAGGAGTAGGGTGCATTTTCAAATAAGGTGGGCAAGGAAGGCCTCACTGAAAAGCAGAGATCCAAAGGAGGTAGGACAGACTGCTCCAGGTGGTGGGGCAGCCAGTGCAAAGGCCCTGTGTCAGGATCAAGCCTGGTGGTATCTCTGGAACAGCAAGGAGACCAGTGGATGGGCAGGGAAGGTAGATGAGGGTAGAAAGAAGACAGATTATTGAGGGCCTTGTAGACCATTGTTGAGGATTTGGGCTTTTATTCTAAGTAAGATAGGAAGCATTTTGAAGTAACTTTATTTTTAGACATCTTATTATTTTCCATAATGTGCATTTTTGTGAAGGAGCCATTCTTCATCAAGCCACTTAATCAATAGGAAGAATCTTAAATGTAAAAGTTCTTAAATGTTTTTGTTTGGGGAAAATAAAATTTATATTTTTTATCAGCTTTATACAAACTGTATGAAAGTTAGTTGCTGTATTCTTAAAAATGAACAGTTCTTAGGATTTGTATGTTATAAAACTGTACCATTTCATTAAAAAAGAACTGTTTGTTCTGCATGTTTTATGTTGCTTTAGTAATTTTGTAATACTCTTTTCTTCAACTTTGGCTGTTATATTTTATTTCATTGAGTTTTTGAAGTATTGGTCCATCACCCCCGCTGGCTTTGCTGTCAAGGCTGCACCTGGGCATGTCGCCTTGTTTGTGCTTGTGATGGTAATTGTACTTCCGAGGCATCATATCTCAGTTATGAAAATCCATTTTTGTAAATGCTTTAATGCAGCCAAAATTCCATCGTGTCTTGTTTTTGATTAGCATCTTCCAAAGTACTAAAGAGTATGTGTGAGAACTTCTACAAGTACTCAAAGCCGAAGAAGATTCGAGTGTGTGTGGGGACCTGGAATGTAAATGGTGGGAAGCAGTTCCGCAGCATTGCTTTTAAGAACCAGACGCTCACCGACTGGCTTCTTGATGCACCCAAGTTAGCCGGCATCCAAGAATTTCAAGGTCAGCTTTTTATAACACGGGGTCAATTAAAATCCTGACTCTGGTTTATTGATCTAGAAAACAAAAGTACCACATCACAATATATATTAATTCATACAGCAAACTTTGGATTCTTTTATAAATTTGAAGACCAGTATGTTCATAGATTGAATCATTTAAAATCTTACCTCTTTTATTTCTAGACCTTTGCTTTCTATTTGGATAAAAACACAATGGCAAAATAAAAAATCTTTTTGATAGTTGATTCTCAGGAAATAGGGATCCATATGTAAATAGATATCTTTGAAGGCAACCATACATATAAGAAAAACTAGGGGTTTTTTTCTTTTAAATCAACCTGAACCTAAATTATTTTGTAATTGATAATTTGAATTTTTTTTTTTTGGTACCGGAGATCAAACTCCGGTCCCTGTGCTTGTAAGGCAGGCAGCAGAACCACTGAGCTAAATCCCTGGCCCAATTTGAATTTTTTTTAAGACTAGTATATCCCATTTTATAATTGTAGTCCTCTGTTTAGTTACTCTGCTAAGAAATGTCTGCAGGGCATGGTGGCATTGCCTATAACCCCAGCACTCACAGGAGGCTGAGGCAGGAGAATCACCATGAGTTTGAGGCCAGCCTGAACTACATGGCAAGTCTTTGTCTCAAAATAAACAAAAAGTCAGGGTAGATTATGAGCAGGCTTACAAAACTTGTAATACTTGTTGGTACCTGTAAGTTAATGGTACCGGTTTATCCTTGTAAAAACTTGGTTGTCATTCAGTTTGGGTTCTCTACCACTAAGCTGTTCATAACTAGAACAAAACATTTTAGCTGAGGATACTTTCATTATCATTTTGACTAAAATCAGGAATTTAAGGCCTTCCGCTTTTTAAGAAAGAACCTTAATTCCTTTTAAAATAGTATGTAATTACCAATATTACATATGAAGGTCATGTGTATAAGAAATGGAATGATAGAAAAAAAATTTTTCAAGTCGCTTTTTTTTTTTTGGTACCAGGTATTGAACTCAGGACCTTGCATTTGAGAGGCAGGCACAGTGCCACTGAGCTAAATCCTCAGCCTTCATGTCGCTTTTAATCAGTCACATCTTAGTCCCTGGGATTCCCTAGACTTTAAGATGCTTCTTTGAACTAAGGTTAATACAAGGTCATGGAAGTAGGAGTAGTAATAATAATAATAATCATACAATAATAATGGCTGATAGAATAATAATCTAAGCATTTTGCATTTTTAAGTTACCCCTTATAGGATACCTATTATGATGACACTATTATTACAGTTTTACAGATGAGGAAATGGAGATGCAGAAAGGGAAGTGACCTGCCTGTGGCGGTACACAGTAGAAATGATCTCAAATTGGAGATAACAGTTGAGAGGGATTTTTCATGTTCAAATTTTGAAGACCACAAGCTTAATATTTTGGCAGGTTATGTAGGTTTTCTAAAGCCTTGGTCTACTATCTGTAAATAAAAGAGAAATAATTTATCTTAGAAGTCATTTGTGTGGTAATTAAATGAGATGATATAGATTGGAGCTTTGCACATTTTTGGCAGTCAGTAAATTTGTTTTATTTCTTAGTATTCATAGGATTTATGGGCTTATTTGAGCTGTTTACCCTCATTCTTGTATACTTGGGCCCCTTAAAGTGCTTTCAGGCTGCTTCTATGAAACACCTTCTATTTAAGCTGAAACAGCAATGTGTCTTCAAAAGATCAAAATTGTGATCTTCAGATTTGGTTGTGAAAAATCCCTCCCAACTGTTATCTCCAATTTGAGATAGTTTCTTAGCAACTTTATTCCTTGTACCTTTTCTGAATAATTCCTCTACCTCTCCAATTTTGATTTTAGCCTTTAAGAAGTGACTTGTTTCTCTGCTGTCCATGGTCCAAACTGTAGCAAGAGCTCTTTCAAAATGATCAGTGAAAAAAAGAAAGATTTCTGAAAGTACTTAGAGATCTGCAAGGATAACAAACTTAAGCAAATTTAAGGCATTTTAAAAAAGAGTAAAATTTAAATGTTATCTCATGAATTATTGACTTTAGTATATATTTGGTTAAACTAATACTAAACTGCATTTTTATGAGATTTGTTGTGTTGTATGGAGTGATGTTAGCACTTAAGGGTATATTTAAAAGTATTTCCTGGGTGCTTAATTGTAGATAAAAGAAGTAAGCCAACTGATATATTTGCAATTGGTTTTGAAGAAATGGTAGAGTTGAATGCTGGAAACATTGTGAATGCAAGGTAAGCTGCCAGGTAACAACACTGGAAAACTTTCATGTTGAGGGATATGGAGGATTGTAACTAAGACATTGTTACAAGGGTAGATTAAGATGATATATAGAAAATGCTTTTTAGACTGTAAAATAGCAGTTCTCAAGCATTTTGATCAGAGGATCTCTCTATTAAAAATATTAAGAATGTCAAGGAACCTTTGTTATATCTCTTGATATTTATTATGTTAGAAATTAAAATTGAAAAATTTTTAATATTTATTGAAAGATAACAGTAGTAGCCAAGCATGGTGGCACATACCTACATACCTGTAGTCCCAGTATTGAAGGTGGCTGAGGCAGGAGGATTGCCATGAGTTCAGAGCCAGCCTGGACTACATGGAGAGTGCAAGGCCAGCCTACAATACTGTATTAACCAATGTGATGCTTCGTATCATATAACAAGATGTGTTAAAATCTGGAAGAGCTACATAACTCAATGAACCCTTTGAATGTTTCTAAATAGCCAATACAAGATGATACTTAAAGGTAAAAGACTAATAAACTTTAGTATAAATAAAGCACCAGAAGTTCATTGATATGGTTTCAGATTCCATTTTACAAATAGCCTTTAAGACACTCACCGTTTGTTGACTTTTGGTATATAGTTAGAGAAGAAATTATCTGGAAAGGTCATTGAAATACTTTCTTTCCAAACAGATACACTTTTTTTTTTTGAGATAGAGCCTTGCTGTGTACATACAGAATTCCTCATTTAGCAACCAATTCATTTAACAACGTAGTCACAGGAACAGAACCCTGTCATTAAACGAAGAATGTCTGTATTGAAAAAATGGGGCTCATGGTTTGGATTTGCTGAAATTAATAATGTTTTCTGTTTAATCAAGGACATTCTTAAGGAAAATGGGATTTTTGCTGCAAGTACATGACAAGATCTAGTATAGATTGGTGTCTGGCTTCAAGTGAAGGAAATCAGCATTCTTGGCCATTGCTGATGGTACAAAAGTACCATCAATAAAAATGTCATCCAACACAGTGGAAAAGGCAACCGTGTGTTAGAGTATTAGGAAAATGGTTGTGATTGCATTGGGTTGGGGAATCCCCAGGGATGTCTCCTCCAGACCACATTAGGAGAACGACTGCTCTGAAGCCATATTTCACATACAGATTTTACAAGTGAAACTATAATGTGTTTGTTTTTAAATATGAGCAGTTTTTCATCTAAAAGATAATTATGGACTGAAATATTATGGTATAGCCATCAATATTACAAATGACAAGTCTTACCTTGGCCAAAGTGAGTAACAGTTCCATCAGGAAAATAGAAATCTTACTTCACTCATTTTCCTGTGTTAGAGTATCTTTCCTGATAATAAATATTTAGATCTTAAAATAGAACATACTCTTACTGATTCTGATATCAAACTGATTGGTCAATTGTTTGTCTAAATAGAGTGTAATAAAATTTTTCTTCAATAAAGTGGAGATCATTTATTTAGCCAGTATCCATTGATCATATACTCTTGGTACTAAAGATATACCTCTGTGAATAAAACGGACAGAAATCCCTGCCTCCAGGCTAGGAATGTAACTTAGTGGTAGAGCACTTGTCTAGCATGTATGAGGCCTTGGATTCAATCCCAACACCACAAAACAAACAAACCTGCCTTCATGGACTTTGAGATCTAGTTGGAAGAGATAATGAACAATAACTATAGTAAATTATAGAGTGAGTCAGAAAAATGCTATTGAAAATAAGTGACAGTAAGAGAGACCAAGTGTGTAAGGTAGGCAGTGTCGGCAATTTTAAATGGAATGATGAGGATACTGTTTATTTAGAGGATGACTTGAGGAAAGGATGATGTTTTGCTTTCTTCCCAGAATACAGATGACAGTTGTGGGGTGGGATGTGTAGTATTAAACAGGTGAATGTGAGGTCACATTCTGGTTACCACTTAGCATTTGTGTGATCTGGAACAATAAGAAAAAAGACTTTGTTTTGTTCTCAATTGGAGGTTTCTAGGTTCACACTTACTATTGTGAGAATTTATAGATAAAGAAACAGAATCAAGCCTTTATTCCTCTTTTATGAACAATATTGCAGAGGATTAGCCTTTGGGATGCTGAAATTACAAAATGAACATTTTGCACCTCCTAATGAAATACAATCTGAGTGATGTTCATCAGTAGATACTGAATCCTTAGACTCAGCACCTGAGCACCTGGCCATTTGTAACATTGCAGAGGTGACGCCCTCTTGCCGTGATACGTTGAGAAGTGACAGCACCACCCCAGAGCTTATTCTTGCCACCATGAACACAAATAAAATTGAACATGTTTCTTAATCAGCCTCTGCAGCAAAGCAATTTAAAGGAAATAATGACAGAAAGAAAGACAAGTTAAAGACACTATGGGAACACATTAGCCAAATCCACTCTGTTGAACATTTCACAGGACAATAAATAGCTCAGTTTCTTTTTAAAAAATGGCAGGGCGGGGGGAAGCATTGTAAATGGGATAGGGTTAGTGAGGGGTTCAAGGACATAAGCAAATGCATTGTGTAGGCCATGTTTGGCCCCTATTTTAAAGAAACTAGCTACAAGAAGACATTTTTTAAAAATTTCTTTAGGCTTTTTTTCTGAGAAGACTTTCTTTAGATATTTGGGAAATCAAAATATGAACTAGTATTAAGAAATTTTTAATATTTGTAATAATAACATTGTGGCAATGTTAAAGTAAAAATATCCCATCACATTAGAGATTCTTACTACAGTATTTACAGGCAAAATGTTGTCTGTCTTAGATTTGCTCTAAAATATCCTAGGTTTACAAAAAAATGTGAGGAGGGATGGAAAAAAGATTGGCAGAATGTTTATTATGTTGGAGCCAATGATGCGTATGTGATGGCTTCCCCATTGACTAGTGTGTGTCCTTGCTTTAGTGATAATGGAAATAAAACTAACTGTGACAGTATGATCTACATAGAAACGCTTTAGCTGTAAAGTAAGGGAGAAGGTAGGAAAGGACTCCCGCTTCAGCAGGACCTGGAGGGGCAGTCTGATGAGGAGGGTCACACTGGCCCACCCCACCCACAAAAGCGGGCCAGTTTGGAAGGATTAGCCCAGGTGAGCCGGCCTGGTTGATCGTTATCTCACTCCTGTTTCCTACCACTAGAGAGATTCTCTTGTCTTGAGAGGTGATTCTCTTTCCATGAAGTGACTGTGTTTGCCAATGGTTTCAGTTTTTCCCGGGACCCAGGTGACTACCGGTTCAGATCAGTGGCTGGGGACTTTTATGTATTGCACTGAGAGGAAAGGTCTAACTTGATTTTGTAAATGTGGGTAATCGGATGTCCCTTGAATCTTGAAAATTACTTTGTTACTTCACTTGATCTTAGCCAAAGGCAGAGAAGCGATTATTACTTTGTTATTTTTATCTTGATGTCCTGTGCCTTCCATAGGAATGAGATACGCTAAGTAAAGCTGCTGCTAATAAACTTCGTTCTGTTGATTTTCCCTGAACGAGTAACATAACCTTTTCCAAAGTTTTAAGGTAATAAAGGATACAAAAGTGAAGATCAAGGTTTATTTTACTTTTAGTTACCTAATTGGCATTTATAGGCCCAAGAGAAGCCACATTTTTACCAAAAACCACTTTTAAGTCCCTGACTGCCTCAGAAGAAAACACAATTCATGCTTCTGAGGAGTAACAGGTTAAGGACGCAGAAGATTTTTTTGTCCACTATAGTAGTCTCTGATTGTGTCAGTTTGCTTTACAATAATCTTTTTTTGTGTGTATATTTAACTTTTTCTATAGTAATTTTTTTCCATAGTAATTTTTTAAAAGACATTAATTGTAATTCAGAATAATGGGAGGGGGAGTCATCTGGAAGCACATACTTCATGACCTTAAGGAATACTTAGAAAAAGTAAAGTGTGCAATGCAAGCTTGAGATTACTTACCTTGTTTTGTTTTTTGGTTCTTTTGGTAATGCTGAGGCAGGCGGTAGAACCACTGAACTAAATCCCCAGCCCACGATTACTCTCCTTGTGATTATCATTTAATAAGTCAGCTGATTTTTTATTGTTGTTTGTAAAGGAATTGTAGATTAGATTTTTGTGTTTTGTTTTGTTTTTGGTACTGGGAATCAAACTCTGTAGATTAGATTTTGAAATGTGATGTTCTTTTGGCTAAATTTCAAGTGTTTCTTTATTTTGATTTGGTACGGGATGAACTCAGGTCCTTGGGCTTGCTTGGGGGGCAGGTGGCAAGTGGTTTGTTTGTTGTTGTTTTTTAAGGAAACAGACAAAAACAGCCTGCATAAAGATTTCAGAGTCTTAAGAAATTTGGGAAGATAGAAGTTTAATTTTTTAAAGATTCCCTCTTTAATATTTTCTGGTAGTACAACAAATCAGAAGCTCTGGGCCGTGGAACTTCAGAAGACAGTCTCCAGAGACAACAAGTATGTGCTGCTGGCTTCTGAGCAGTTGGTGGGCGTTTGTCTGTTTGTTTTTATCAGGCCACAACACGCTCCTTTTATCAGGTCAGTAAACAAAACACTCTCCTAAAGCTACTTCTTACCATTAAATAACAGGAAAAAAAAACCCTAAAATGTTTGTTGTTTCAGAGAAACACTTAATCCGTAGTTCTTGTGTTAAAATGTGTCTTTGATTTGAGCGACTAATAGCTTCTCTGCAGTGTTTCACAGGGATGTGCTCAAAGTACCATGTGATATGTAGTTATGATATGATTATGTAATGCAGGGTCCTCTCATTTCCTGTGCACACGAAACTGTTGAAATGTCAAGTCTTCCATTTGGAATTCTCTGTTTAAAGGGATGTGGCGGTTGATACTGTGAAGACTGGGATGGGAGGTGCGACTGGAAATAAGGGAGCAGTTGCAATCCGAATGCTCTTCCACACCACCAGCCTCTGCTTCGTCTGTAGCCACTTTGCTGCAGGACAGTCACAAGTCAAAGAAAGAAATGAAGATTTTATAGAAATAGCACGAAAATTGAGTTTTCCCATGGTAAACTTTGCTGCTTGTTCTTTTTTTTATGCTTCTTATTCTCAAAGATAAAGCTTTGAAGTGTACTTTACCCCAGATTCTCTATTAGATTTTTGAAAATTTTAAGATCATCCTTAAAAACATCAGCAATATTGACCTAAATATGTATTTCACATTACCATTAGCTTAAAGAAACAGCCCTAGATGGAGAGTCAAGTATATATCTGAGGCAAAAAACAATGTAAACATTTTAAAAAATTATTTTGAATTAAAATTCCATCTCATTGTTTCCAGGGAAGATTGCTGTTTTCCCATGACTATGTGTTTTGGTGTGGTGACTTCAACTATCGAATCGATCTTCCAAATGAAGAAGTTAAAGAGCTCATAAGGCAGCAAAATTGGGATTCCCTTATAGCAGGAGATCAACTTATCAATCAGAAGAATGCTGGACAGGTATAAACATATTTGAGAAGATATTTGCATTGAGAAAAAGATTTTGAGTTATAAAACATGCTTTCCTTTATTTTTAAAGAAGTTTCTTGAAGGCCATTTATACTTAAATATGTACTATGTAGATAAACAGATAAAGAATTTTCCTGACAGAGAGAGAAGGAAAGGAAAACCTATACCAGGAAGAAGAACGTATTATGCATCTGTAAGATTCACTTCCAAATAGAAGGATGTATTTCCTGGAGAGAGCAGTAATAGTTTAGAGTCTTGATTTTTATGGCTACTAACTTTTGGGTTTAAGATCTTGCCTGGGACAATCTACTTTGTTGCTGGTTTTTTTTTGTTTTATTTTTGTGTTTGTTTGTTTCTTATGTCATCTACCTTTTCGAAACTTATTTTGTTAATGACCACAAGATTCTGGGAGAATCTACATCAAAAAAATGTTCAAGTAAAAGTGGTTGGAGGCTACTTGGTGCAGAGCTTGGGGACCACTAGACTCGAATTCTTATCCTGGGTACCACTTTACCTACTTAGCTGTCAGCTCCTTGTTTGACAATAAGATATGAGGCTGCATGATTTCCCAGCTCCCATACAATTCCAAATGTCTGTCATAGCTCAAAGACAAGGGGCCCCTTCCTCATGTTTTCATAGTTTGTTTAACACATTCATGACCTGCACGGCTGCCCCACTGGCTAAACTCAGAATGGAACTGTCCCGTGCTGCCCAGTAGGACAGTTATGCATGCGCCCCTGGTGGTTCAAGCCGGCAGGGACATGTTAATCAAAGGTCAAAGAGTGATATGAAAAAGGCCGTATCTTGAGTGGTTTTCTTTAAGCCTTATTCCATTCAGTTGGAAGTATTCATAGATGAATCCAAATTTCATCCCAGAGTATCCCACACATAATAACACTTAATGAAGCATAACTCTGAAAACATAACTCTTACACATTTTGAAATAACTTATTTTGTATGTGTTTATTTTAGATTTTTAGAGGATTTCTAGAGGGAAAAGTTACCTTTGCTCCGACCTATAAATATGACTTGTTTTCTGATGACTATGACACCAGTGAGAAGTGTCGCACCCCTGCGTGGACAGACCGTGTCCTCTGGAGAAGAAGGAAGTGGCCTTTTGATAGATCAGGTTGGGAAATGGACTTTATTTAGATGAATTAATGAGGATTTTGGGAGGAAAAAGGGAATAATGAAAATATCAAGAAGAAAGCTATTTTATTCAAAAAAATTTACTAGAGTATAATACAACTTAAATATAAGGTAGATTCTTAAAATACTATTTTTTAGTCTGTTGTTTTCAGTGACATAATTTTTTATAAAAAGGAGTAAGGAAACATTTGTAAAATTTTCAATTGATTGTTAACTGGTTTTTAACTTGAATTACTAAAGTGGTTTATATGTACGTTGAACTGCCACTCATCTGTTGAATTATTATTTTTTTTTGGTATGGGGGATCGAACTTGGGACCTTGTGCTTGCAAGGCAGGCAGCAGAACCACTGAGCTAAATCCCCGGCCCCATGTCGAATTACTTATGAGACACTATTTGGTCACTGGTCTCTAAGTAATCTTAGAAGTATGACATGTTAATTTTTACTAAGTAAAAAATAAAATAGTAAAGAATTTTGTTTACTGAAAGACTTGCTCATTTGAAGAAGCACCTGGATGTCCTGTCTGTTAAAAGCGTACCGAACATCTAGCATTCCAGCCCCAGACAACTAACACTGAGGAAAGAGACACCTCTTCGTTCCACATGACCCTCTCTTCTCATGCTCTTGCACTTTCTGTTCTGATTGCAGCCGAAGACTTAGATCTTCTGAATGCTAGCTTTCAAGATGAAAGCAAAATCCTCTACACGTGGACTCCTGGCACTTTGCTGCACTATGGAAGAGCTGAGCTGAAGACTTCTGACCATAGGTTGAAATAGTCTTGAGTATTTTTCATGGTGCTTGAGGTTTGAAATAGATTCTTTTGAAAACATTTTAACACATGTCTCTTCCTTTATGCCTTAAGGCCTGTCGTTGCCCTGATTGATATAGATATATTTGAAGTTGAAGCTGAAGAGAGGCAAAACATTTACAAAGAAGTAATTACAGTTCAGGGTCCACCAGATGGTACAGTGTTGGTCTCAATCAAAAGTTCTTTACAAGAAGATAATTTTTTTAATGATGCCTTGATTGATGAGCTTCTGCAGCAATTTGCAAATTTTGGTGAAGTTACACTCATAAGGTGAGCAAAATATTTTTTATCCTAAAGTACCTCATGATTCAGAAACAATAGATTCTACATTAGAAATCACCTATTTAGTGTTTGAGTAGCGTAGGGGAATTTGTTTCCAAACCAAAGGAAAATTGTACTATAGATGCTATTCAAAGAGCTGGTAGGTTTTTAAACTGAATCCTGTACTTAGAAAGCTTAAATTTAATAATGAAACTTCTATATGAACAATTGAAGACAAAAATACATGCAAGTTCAGAGATAACCTCTCAAAATTCCCATACAATGGAACATATAAAAAAGCCCTATAAAAAATGCAGTGATTGGTAATTTTGTTATTTTTTAAGGAGACATAAAAGGAAAGTGAAGGAAAAAAAAAGTAAAATGAAGGTACTTTTTCTCTCTTGGTTTAAGACATTTGATGTTTAAAGTAATTATAAGTAAGTTTAATTTCCAGCCAGCAGAGATGTGATGAATTGTGAGGAGTCATCCATTCCAGTCTTGTTTTCCACAGTGATTTATCTGTCTGCCTTATGCAGAAGCAGGTGCCTTTTTCCTTGTTTTAAAAATATTCTCTTCCATATGTACAGCAGTTTGAGAGATTTAATGAGTGTGTGTGTGTTCTATAGAGAAAGAAGTATTAATTACGTTTGTGTTTTTTTATTTGCGCTTTAAGGTATGTTTTATACATGTTTGGTGGACAAATCTCTATAGTAGGTGCCGTAGAAGAGTAGAGAACTTGAAGATGTGACTCCTGCTTGTAATTTAGTTGGGATGATGAGCATAGTGAGTTCCCCAGGTTCTAAACGGCACAGACTACCAACTTAAGATGGTGAGGTTTCTGTAGAGTAAGTGTCATGCCCAAGACACTTACTTAGGTCCTTTCACAGAGTAAAGGAGTGAATGGAGAGGAAATTATATTTGAACTTCTTGCAAATCTTTTGGTGATGATCTACCTTAAACCTTTAAAAAGAAACAAAACAAAAACTTTCCAAAATTTTAAGGCTCCGGGAAGTACATAGTGAGATCTCTGAGGTTTACAGATGACAGTAAGTTTTGCCAAAAGCAGAAATGCCAAACTGCTTGCAACATCTTGTAGACTGTGTGAGTGGGCAGCAGGGTAACAGATAAATGTCTTCATAGCAAATGTAAAATACTGCAGAGAGATAGGAAGAATCCAAATTGTATAAGGGATAAAAGACTGAAAATAGAAACAAACCTGTCTGTTTTTCTAACCCACTGGGTTCTCCTAGCTAAAAATTGGAGCCACAAGTTTTCCTCACAATGCTGTCATTATTAGGAAGTTATTGGTAAGAAAGTATGTTCTACTCTAATATAAAACTGTGGGCTGTCTTCACACCTAGAATATGCTAGTAAAAGAAAACCAGGCTAGTAAACCAGACTAGTAAAGAAAAAGACAATGAAATTATACAAGAAGAGGACTACTACAAGCAGTAAGATGGAATTACTACCTTTTGGTTTAGAATACAACCATTAAGAAGTTCCTGAAATCTGTAAACTCCCTTATATTTAAATAACAGATTCCTTGAAAATGTGCAGATTTAAATGTACTTATATAATGAGAAACTGGAAGTTTTTACCATAGTGAGTGAAAGTAAGGCAAAAATAGTTTCCGAAAGGTTCTATGTAAATCCATGGATGTGAGAATCAGGATCCCTTGTTAAAGTTAGGCATATGTGAAGGGCACTTTGCTAAATGAGCATAAGGACCAAGAGATTAGCACTGCCCTAGGATTGCAAATGCTTTGGTACCACTGTCAAAGAACAAATAATATTTTGAATTTGGGGAGTCTGGTGCGGGCTTACAGTATGTTATAACCTTTGGATGAGAGTTATCCTCCATTACCAACAATCCGAGAAGGACTTTTTCATGGTATTTAGGTAAGAAAGATGTTCTTGTTCGTTTCAAATGACAGCATCCTGCAGTTTCATAACTTTATGCCAAAGAAATTGAATCAGTTACTTCGGTCATGTTTGCAGTGATTATAAATATCTATACCACACCCTTGATTTCAAAAGGTAAAGTTAAAAAAAAGGTAAAATACTTGTATACTTTTAAGATTCCTCTGAAGAGGAATCCTCTTAAGATCAATAATCTGTACTTTTGACTCCTAGAGGGGGGAAGAAGGGAGGGAGGGAGAGAGGAGAATAGGGTACACCTTCTCTGTGCAGTTAGAAGTAGTTCTTTTTTTTTTTTTAGTACGGGAGATGGAACTCAGGTCCTTGCACTTGGGAGGCAGGCGGCGGAACCACTGAGCTAAATCCCCGGCCCTTGTTTTATTCTTTTTTGCATGGTAACCTTATATATCAGTGACCATCCTTTTCAGAACGTGTTCTAATATCCTTTTAATTAATTTGATTTTTTCCTTTTGGAGGATTCTTATTTCAAAACTATAAACTTAGACTCCTAGCAAAGACCATTCGAAAACCGAAGAGTAAAAACTCGGTTTCTAAGAATGAAGACCACAAGCAAAGGCTCCTTGAGGCCATTTGGGTTTCCTTTACTGTTGTCATTTTTGGTTTCAAGATTTTTTTGGTTTGTTTTCCTTTTGTTTTCACTGGCAGCTTCCTGTCGTCTTTTTGATCAAACAAAATGTCCTTCAAGGGAAGTCAGAGAGACGCTGAGACCCTGGGCTTGGGGTCAGGAGACTGTGATTTCAGTCCTGTAGTTTGCTCCCCTTATAGAATCACTCTGAATGAGGCCTGTTGTTTCTATTAGTGTAGTGTTTGAAAGAAACAGATTGGAATGCCGCTAGCGGAAGAGCACCCTCTCCAGGTCCAGGCCTCTGTTAGCCAGTAATCTCTGGGCTAGTCATTGGACTAGTTATATCTAAGAAATTAATTATGTTTTTAAAATTTTTTTCTTAAAGATTTGTAGAAGATAAAATGTGGGTTACATTTTTGGAAGGAAGCTCTGCCTTGAGTGTTCTGAGCCTAAATGGTAAAGAGGTAAGGAAGGTTTGTTGATTTTAAACCATTCTGAGATAAAAGTGTCTGAGGAGATTATATATTTATAGGCATACATAAAGCAGGAAGAGTACAGAAATTTATTTTCAATCATATAATGTTACTTTTGTGCCTCCCTGGAGATACTGACCATTGATGTAGACTAAAAAAGTTAACCTCTTAATTTGATTTCTGTTATTTGCAATATAAAATATTTTAAAATTTTAATTTAGCGTAGATATTCTGACTTATATGTATAGTACAAAAGATTTCTATCAAATGAAAATGATTTATTTACAAGAAAACAAGGAAGGAAGTTGTTCACCACTCCTAGGAATTTATTTTCTTGGCTTCATTCTTACTACCTTTTTAAAGCCCTGGTAAAATAATTACATAGATAACAAACATATTACATTGAGGCATTTTAGAAATTTTTAATTAAACTTGCCATATTTACTTAAGACTATATCATGGATATCTTTCCATGTACACTAAATTTCATTATGTGGCTACCTTATTTATTTAACCAAACTTCTATTAATAAACATCTAGATTGCTTCTGCTGTTTATTTTAAAACCAGCATTCCAGGGAATGCCTGTGTGTCTCTTTTCAGGCTTACCCTATTACTCCCTAAGATAAAATTTTAAATAGAAATTCGCTGTGTCAAAGAATATAGACATATAGGATTACATTTTGATACTTGTTACCAAATTGCCATTCAGAAAGGTTTTGTCAAGCTATACTGTACCTGGGATTACCTTTCTCTAACATCCTAATTAATATTGATTCTTTTTTTTTTACTTTGATGATCTGAAGAATGAGAAGTAGTATATCATTCCTGCTTTAAGATGTTGATTGTTAGAAGTGAAGTCTTTTGTTTATTGGTCACTTGTACTTTTCTGACTAGCTGTTTGTGTCTTTACCTTCCGTGTGTGTGTGCGCTCGTGCATGCATATGTGTTGCTGGGTATTGAACCTAGGGCATTACACATGCCAAGCAATTGTTCTACCTCTGAGCCACATACCTCGCCCAACTCATCTTCCCACTGTGGGGTCAGTCTTCTGAAGCTCCTTTTATGTTACAGGTATTAATTACATGTCTTATATGCTGCAGATTTTTCTTACAACTATTGTATTTTAACTACGTGAAAATTACTGATTTTAAAATTCAATTTTAGCTTTGGTTTTTAAGCCTTATGTCATGACGATATTTAAATATTAAAGAGCAGCTCTTAATTTGACATTCTATGTCAGTTCTTTTTTCCCCACTAGAGTGTCTTTTGTTTTCCTTGGTAATTACTTTTCTTTGTTTTGTTTGTTTCCTTCCTTTTCTACTCTGCCCCACATCCTCAAGTTTAGGCTTTTATACTATAAGTACTCTTGGCTCCTTAAAAGATTTTCAAAATTCTGTAGAAATCATATTTGTGGGAAATACAACATACTATTTAATTGAAATTTTATATCTTTTATCAATTAGCTATTGAATCGGACTGTAACTATCACTTTAAAAAGTCCAGACTGGATCAAAAATTTGGAAGAAGAAATGAGTTTAGAGAAAATCAGTGTCACATTGCCTTCATCAACAAGCTCCACCCTGCTTGGTGAAGATGCTGAGGTTGCAGCAGATTTCGACATGGAAGGTTCGTTTGTTGACCACATTTGCTTTTGTACCACTAAGAGAAGTTTCCCTCCCATCAGTCTTAGTATCCAACTTAATCTTCTCTTTCTTGGGATACACATAGCCATATTAACTAGGATTTATGTGCCAGGTACATGCTAGCTGCTGGAAATACACTCATCATGGTCCTTGCCGTACTAGAACTCAAAGCTCAGTAGGTGTTATACACAGTATGCAGGCAATTATAATAGCATGACATCAGTGCAATAATGGACAGTGCTGTGTAGCTCATGGAAAAGTTGCCTAACTGAATTTGAGGAGTGAAGCAGAGCATCCCAGAAGAATTACAATTTAAGCTGAGATTCTGAAGACTGAAGGAGAATTGGATTAAAGAAAGTAGAAAGGAGTGACTCAAGGAGAAATCACATGTGTAGTCCCAAGGGAAACACAGAGAGGTAAATTGATCATGGAAGTATGTTTGAAAGAGAATAAATGAAGAAAAAAATTCAGGAAGAGGAGCCTGGTAGGATGGGTTTGAAGTATCTGTGGGGTCGTTTGGTCCAGATATCAGCTGTTAGATACATGGGACTGGTGCTCAGGAGAGAGCTCTGACACAGGTAGCTCTGATAGCAAATGACACTAGGAGAGTTTATTACTTTGGTAGGGTCATGCAGAAACTGGGAGAGTGAATTGAGTATGAAAGAATCAACAGTCCAGGGATCAAACAAGGAGGAACAGACAGAAGTGAAAATGAAAAGGAACACCTAGAAATGTCAAAGAGCCCAAGAGAATTTTGCAGATTAGAAACCAAGGAAAGAAAATGTAAGAAGGAAGCAGTAGAGCGGATGGTGTTTTGTACCACAGAAAGATGAGAAGAAATGAGGACCGAAACTTGTCCTTCTGATTTGATAACAGGAAGGGAAACTATTGGTGACCTTCATAAGAGAATTTCAGTTGGGTGTGGTGGCACTTGCCTGTGACTCCAGAACTCTAGGAAGCTGAGCTGGAAGATTGCAAATTCAAGCTCAGCCTGGGCAATTTAGCAGCTTAGTAAGACCCTATCTCAAGATTAAAAACAACAAAAAACAAGGAGGCTGAGTGATGTAGCTCAGTGCAAAGGCCCTGGGTTCAATCCCCAAGACCCCATACACAAACTCACAAAGTAATTTCAGTGATATGACAAAGTGGTGGAAATTTTTATGGGTAAAAAATGAAGAAGTAGAGAGAGTACCTATAGACAGCTCTGTAAAGGAGCTTAGCTAAGACTAGAGCAGAGGGAGAAGAGGACAGATGGTCACGGGAGACTGGGAATCCAAAGATGGTGGTTTGTAAACGGGAGAAACTGGAGAGTGCGTAGTACTGATGGAAAAGTGCTGGTAGAAGTGAAAGAGCTGGTGATATTGGAAATGGTTGGCAGAATAACAGAGCAAAATTATTGAGAAAAGTGGGGTGGGTAGGACCCCATTTGTTGCACCCACAAATACCTGAATGCCAGCTATCTGATTAGATTCTAGCTTGCTCACAGGTTGTCATCAGGGTTGGGGGGGAAGGGGATGCCTCCATCTTAAGACTTCTCTTCACTATGAAGTTTAAGTGTTGAAATTATCTGCAGGAGCAGGGCAGTCCACAGTTTGAAGAGAATTGAGAAACTTTGGGATAAAACTCCTAAGGGAAAAAGGATGAAGGGAAGAGGCAATCAGTAAATCATGTAATTGCTGAGCAACTCCAGGACCCCAGATATGATCATGAGGGCTCTGCGGTTTCTTTAGCTGCAGCACTGAGCAGCCCAAGTGCAGTCACAGAAAGATCAAGCAGTGGAACTGCTGCACAGTAGGGGTTTTGTCAAGCAAGGGTGACAGAAGAGTCATGAGGTAAGGGGAACAGTTGAAGAACCATAGAATCTGAAGTGAGGTACAGAAGAGAGCAGAATTGGATGGGGGTTAAAATGAGAGGGATCAAGCCCTGAATCCTGCTGAAAAGAAAAGAAGAAAAAAATGACTGAGGGAGGGAACTGCTAGGTGCAGGTTTTCAGGGTGCAGTGCTTGTGCTTGGTGTTTGGGGGCGGGGTGTTAGGAGTGGACGTGAGTGTCAGTGGGATGCATTGTCCACATGGCCTTCAATGTCACAGAAAGATGATAGAACCCAACTCGCTGTCTGCTTTTTGCTTAGTGCTTGACGGTGGCTGGAGATCACTGCAGGAAGTAGTATAGTGGGTGTTATATAAATTCCTGATGGCATAGCTTCAGAGAAATAGGATATTTTTGCCAGAGGTGGAAGATTAATGTTCTAGAGTTGGAATTAGGTTGCAGAGGGCACCCTGACCCCACTTTCCAGCCCTGGGATAGTGGCCATGAGGACACCTTAGGGGGAGGCCATGTCTAGTTGAAGCAGAGGGTCTGTGGGGGATGGGAGGGGTGGGTAAGGCCTCCAGGGAAGGGCTGTGTGGCTGGACCTGGCTGGCCAGGGAGTGGGCTGGTTCCAAACAGCACAGTAGGTGGACTTGGGGGACAGCAGTCACCCTATGAGTCCCCCAGGAGTTGCTCAGAGCACAGTGAACACCCTTGTCCTTAGTTCAGCCCTGGTTGCTCTGAGGTAACAGGTATCTATACTTTCCATAAGAATGTGTGTACTAATTCTAGTTTTATACATAGAAATTATGTATACACAGCTACAGGCTTTATCCATGTGTGTTAGTTTAATTGGTGTATTTGAACCCCAGAAACCCCTTCTGAGGTGAGAAAAATCTCTGATCAAGTTGAAATGCTGGCATCTTTGATATCCCTGCTGTTCCTTAGGTGATGTCGATGACTACAGTGCCGAAGTGGAGGAACTTCTTCCTCAGCATCTGCAGCCATCCTCAAGTTCTGGCCTCGGCACTTCCCCAAGCTCTTCACCCCGGACAAGTCCCTGCCAGTCACCTACAATAGCAGAGGCTCCTGTACCTTGCCTTCCCATCAGACCAAGTCGAGCTCCATCGAGAACCCCGGGGCCTCCGAGTTCACAGAGTGTGTATTGTACTTGCAAGCTTTGTTTGACATTTCTAGCCAGTGGGCTTGACTTTAGAGAGCCAGTGTGGTTGCACTTGGTGCCCATATGTGGCGTGCCCTGAACACCGAGGGGAAAAGGTGTGGGTGATGAGCTATCAGTACAGAGGAAACTCACTGCCTCTAGATGAAAAGTTTTCTCTTTTTTTTTTTTTTTTTGGCCTTTTTTCTTTTCTTTTCTTTTTTTTTCCATACCGGGGATCGAACTCAGGACCTTGCACTTGCAAGGCAGGCACAGCACCACTGAGCTAAATCCCTGGCCTGAAAAGTTTTCTTAATCCTTTTTCTGTGTGGTTAGGGTTGTCTGTGTCTCACAGTTGACAGTTTTCTTTGGTTACAGTAAGAATCCATAACTACATGGGCTTTTCTTTCTGTTTCTCTCCCTGGCCTGCAGAGACTTAAAGCAAGTCCTTGCCTTCTTGATAGGGCTGCTCAGTAAGTCAGCTTTCAGCATGGAGGCCTAGGTAAGGAGTCAGCATAGAGGTAGCATCACTGCAGCCACACTTAGACGGATTTTGATATTTCTACTGAGAGAGTGTGCCATTTCTCTACACTAGTGAACACATTTTCAAAATCAACAAAACAGAATGTTTATTTTACATATATATGAAGTACATTGCCTTCTGCCAGCATCCACTTGGTCCCTGATCTTGTCAACTGTACTTGTTCAGGTTCTCCTGTGGACACTCAGCCAGCAGCCCAGCCACAGCAGAAAGAGTCCTCCCAGACCCTAGAGCCCAAGCGGCCACCCCCTCCCAGGCCGGGAGCTCCCCCCACACGCCCCACGCCCCCACAGAGACCCCCACCACCTTCAGGTGAGCAGCCACTCTATTTCCCATTGTGCTAGACTGAAATTTCTCCTCCACTGTTTAGAATGCTCTGTGTGTTTTCATATCACTAGCTTCTAGGTTTATTTATTCTTATTATTTTTTAATCATTGTTGCTACTTTTCCACCTTTTCTCAAAGAACACGATAGGTTGACAGGACAGATAAAATGTATTTATTTAACAGGTAGATTTTTGCCATTGTTTTCATAGCTGCCTTCTTACCAGAGTGCAAGAGGGGTTTGTTTTAGTTTTGCTAATTTGATGTAGCTGGGCAAGTAAACTGTTCTTAGGTAAAACTAGGTTTAATTTTTTTTTTAATCATCATTTTTGGCTTCATGAAATCATTAAAGTTGAATTTGTCTAATCTTTATGATTAGAACTAGAAAGCATGCACATTATTTAATATGTTTTATATAAATAATATTTTAAAATATGATTGTATTGTTACTTTAGTTTTTATGAATATATGCTTCTTTATAGTATCTAGATACTTACATTTAATTCCAACGTGATATTTGTTACCATAAATACTACAGCAAATCTTGACATTTAATTCTTTATTTAATGTCATTTCCTTTCTGCTTCATATTTTCTTGTGAACTATAAGGGGCTAGGAGTCCTGCACCTGCTAGAAAGGAATTTGGAGGTAACCGTTTACATTTGTTATCATATCTGAATCTTGGTTCACTAATCTTTTCCAGGTTGATTTCTCTGAGAGACATTTTAGGTTTGTTTGATACGAATCAAGATAAGTGACATTTATACTACATGTTAAAAATAACTCTGAACTTCTATTATATTTCTCTTAAAGTTTACAGCATAGCTTTTTTTGTAAATACAAGTAATGAGAGCTTCTATCTTCCAGGAAGACATAGTGGAACTACTTAACAAGATTGAATATGCTTTTTTTTTTTTTTTTTTTAAATGTAGTCAATCGGGTCACAAAGATTTAGTACCCAGCAGTCATACTAATTTCAAAAGGGTTTCAGATACACTGGATACAGAACATTTCCCACGTCTTAATGAGTGATTCTCTAGTATATTCCTTTTCTTTTTTTTTTTTCTTGGTACTGAGGATTGTAGTACATTCCTTTTCTAATGGAAAAGTTTGTAGGGTAGCAAAGTTTCCAGGAATGTAATTTAAACTTATGGTAATCATCTGAAATATATCTTCTATTTTGTATTTATTATAACTTGTTATAAAACTCCTGCCTCATTTATTTAAGAACTCTATGGTTTTCTTTTCAGTACAGAAACTTTTATCCTAAAATGGATCACTTTTTTTAAAAATTAAGTAATTTATTTGGTTGGCATGTGAACCCACAGAGCCCAATTGGAGGTATACATTTGACAAGTTTGTTTAATCTGTTTCTCCAGAAGGATGAGGCAGGTTGTCACAATTCCTCAAAAGGGTTTGTACAAATCCATCTTTAATATCAGGCCCACTGTTCATGTGTAGTTGGTGTAATTTCTATTCTAGCTGCCTGAGGAGTTTACATTCAGTTATTACAGACTGACTTTGCATGTGTATAGATTTTGGTAACTTTGTATAATAAGAATAGCTAAATTAATTCAGCATCACAGCTTCCACGAAGTACTGCCTAGTGATAATTTTTCCATTGAGCTACAGAAACCATCAATATTTCCCAAACTCTTCCTTATATTTTCATGATAAATTCAGTTTACCTTCTGCTTTAATTAGAAAACCAACCTATAGAAAATAAAAAGTGTGGTGGTAATTCAGTGGTAAAGTGTTTGCCTGGCATGTGTGAGCCCCTGAGTTCAATTCTCAGCACCAAAAATAAAAAAAAAGAAAAAGTAGTCTCATTGAAATTAAAACTTCATTTGTGATCTTCTTTCCTTTTGACAAATATTGGAGCTTTTAGTAGAGATGGAATTCTAGCAATAAAGAATGAGATGATCTTAGAAGAAAGACATTAACTTTTTAATATTTCCTGTGCTTAGTAATCTCAGATAAAAAAGAAAAGAAAATTGCTGTCCCATTTCAGTTTGAGGAGGAGGAGGACTCAAATTTGGGCTTAGTCTAAAGCCACGTTTGTTTATACTGTTATCTTTAAAGAGATGTAAAGCGAAGAAGGAACCCTTGTGCAAAAAAGTAATTGTGTGTCTGCCTTTCTTCATTCTGTGCTGCGGACTCTGAACAATATATAGCTTTTGTTCTTTTTCTAAAAAGGTATTGGAGCCCCTCCCAGTCCTGGGGTAGCTAGGAGAGAGATGGAAGGTAACAAGACTTTTACATTATAGAAATGGTTCATTTGTTTGATTTCTAAATGTCAGCTGCTCCAGTGTTTAAAGGCATACTAAATCTTTTCTTAATCCCACTGTAAACTTTCCCTCCACCCCATCCTTATGTATAACTTGTATTTTTCTCTCTTCATTCTGTTTACATGTATGGTTTCTAATGGCTGTCAATTTAATTTCCCCAAGACTCGTGTAGTATGTTGCGTGTACGCTTTCATAAATATTTCATGTATACTTAGGTTGTGAAATTACTGTTTAAGAAGAATGCCTTCAGTTTTCTTTTCAGAATAAATCAGATGTTTAGAAATGCCCTTTACTAATCTGATGTTTTAAAAATTAGTAACAGGGCCAGGGATCTAGCTCACTGGTGCTGCTGCCTGCCTTGTGACCGTAAGGTCCCGAGGTTGATCCCCGGTACCAAAAAAACAAAAACAAAACAAAAAAAATTAGTAAGAATAAAGCATTAAAAATTAAGTCCAGGGCCAGGGATTTAGCTCAGTGCTACCACACGTTCCTCGCAAGCACAAGGTCCTGAGTTTATCCCTGGTACCAAAAAAAAATTAGGTCCAAGAATAGAGTATTTTGTGAGTGATTTTGGGTAATATATGTGTTCTGCGTATATTGGTACTGAGCTAGATTTGTTTAAAAGACCATTCAGGGGCTGGGGATTTAGCTCAGTGGCACCACACCTGCCTCGCAAGTGCAAGCTAGGTCCTGAATCATACTTGAATGTCCTTTCAAAAGGAAAATAAATCTTAAGATGCTGCTTATTAGTCTTTCTGTTCCTTTTGTCCCAAAGAATTTGTACCACATTTTAATACTATCTTCCATAAGGTAGGCATTTTATAAGATACGTACATTTCTGTCTTCTATTTTGTTACCGAAATCAAAAAATCTCACTGTAAAATAACTGTTCACGATAATACCTACAGCATGAAGCCCTGCAACGGTGCTCCTAGGAGCCTCTTATGCAGCTTGAAATCTGTAGCCCTACCTGTTGCTCAGAGCTGTTTGTTTGCCAGGCCCTGAGGAGCAGAAGTTAGTGTTCACATCTGTGACCATTCCCTCCACTGACCATGTTTTTGTGGTTCATGGAGAGAGCTCTGTGAGGACTATCACCTTCAAGTGACCCCGAGAGTGAGGCATCAAACTGAGAGCTACCCTTGTGTCCTAGGAAGGTCCCTCTAAGTATTCTGGCTTTTCTCTCTTTGGAATATTTCACTCAGGACCAACAGTATCCTTCATCCTTATCCGAAGCTAAGCGCTGTGATTTGTTACCATATCAGGCCCCCATTTCTGCTGGTGATGACACAGAATGACCAACTAACTGATTTATGCAATATTGTTTTGTTGCTTACTTATGACTAATTTTTTTCCTTCCTGCTTCCAAGCACCCAAAAGCCCTGGAACAACACGGAAAGAAAATATAGGTAAAAACACTTACTTTCAAAACTGGACCATGAAATAGACACTTGGAATATATATAGCCAGTTTCTTCTTGTTGTTTTTTTACTTTGTGGTTTTTATTTTTTATTTTTTGTTTTAATCCTTAAACATAGGATGTAATGTCTTCATTCCAGGACGCAATCAGCCTTCATCTCAAGCAGGATTTGGAGGCCCAGGACCTGCTGGACCCAGTACAGCCAGACCGGTAAGTGACATCGAGCCCAGGAGCCAGAGTCTTGGCTCTAGGTTCCAGTTGTCTACTAATTAGTTTTGTTTCATAGGGGAAAACATTTGATCCTTTAATGCCTCAGCTTCCTCAGCTCTAAAAGGAGGGAATTAATTGATGATCCCTGAGGTACCTTTTCACCTGTAACATTATTTTACCTTTTCTTCAAAATAACTAAACTATTATTTGAATAAAAGTGATATGCTTTAAACAGTTATGAACACTAAATAAATATCTTAGTATCTCCCAGTATATGAGGAGGTGATTTACATTAGCAATAACTAAGTAATTATTACAGACATCAAGTTATCTTTTAATAAGGCTTTTTTTTTTTGGTACCAGGGATCGAGCTCGGGTCCTTCCACTTGCGAGGCAGACGGCGGAACCACTGAGCTAAATCCCTGGCCCAATAAGGCTTTTAATTAGAAAAAATATGGTAGTGTTAGTATATTAAAATTGGTTCTGAAAGTATTAAAAATAGGAAAGCAATGCCAGGGATTTAGCTCAGTGGTTCTGGCGCCTGCCCCGCAAGCACAAGGTCCTGCGTTCGATCCCTGGTACAAAAAAAATAGGAAAGCGAATGGTTTGCAAGATTTTCCCTCTGCTTTATAAATATGTAGCTTTTTGTATGTTTAGCATATGTTTTGTTTATATACATATTTTCTCCATTATTTACCAAAATGAAATTTTTCTCTGGGCTATTATAGCCAGTCAGAAAAAGAGAGAAAAAGAAAATGGAAACCAGTAATCAGTAACTTAAGCCCATCTGGTAGAAAGCCCCATATCTGAATAATGGGGATTTAGAGCTGTCACACTACTGACAAGTAGGGTTGTAGGACCCGAGGAAACTACTTTTCATGAAGACAGATTTTCTTTTTTGCATTTTCTGTTATAGCTGTCTACGTGGAAAGGTCCTTCTCTTTGTGTAACATTACTCTCGAAATTGAAATTTCCATAGAGTACACCTGAAGGTTACCAACTCTGTTTCACAAAAGGGGAATTGCCATGCACTGGTCCCACTACCATGCTCACCACACAGCTTTATTTAACACAGTGTAAGGACAGGCAAGGAGAATCAGCATCTTTGAGAGGTTAAAAGTTCATATTCTGCTTAAAATAAATATTGTGGACTTGGAGTCTTCAGCAAACATACAAAAAGAGAAAAAAATATTTTTCACCAGTAGTGTTCTGGTATATTTTATTTGGAATCTTGAATTGTTCAAGAGTTTTGTTTTGTTTTGTTTCCTCCTGTGCTGGGGATTGAACTCAGGACCTTGCACTTGCCAGGCAGTTGCAGTGCCACTGAGCTACATCCTGGCCCAAGAGTTTTATTTCTATGTTTAAAAATGGTATCTTAGTGTGGCTTTTCTGAAGTCTCTTAGTTGCTCAAGCACAAATCTATCTCCTCACATCCTAAAAATTGTCCGTGTCTCACAATCTCTCATGTTGGCGCGTGCCTGTAATCCCAGCACTAAGGAGGCTGAGGCAGGAGGATCACCATGAGTTCGAGTCCATCCTGAGCTACACAATAAGTTCAGGGCCAGCCTGGAAAACAGTGAGACCCTATCTCAAAAAACCAAAGCAAAGTTGTCTCTGTGTCTTCCTTGAAGGCAACGTTGCATATGGCCAGGAGCCTTTGCCCTGCATTTCAGTGGACCTGAATCAGACCCTGGCTCGTGATAAAAATACTACCTGCCTAAAATGGGAATGGTGAGATAATATCTGAGGGCTGTTTTGAAAATTAAATACCTATACTGTGCTTAATAGTGCTTCCATATAGCAACCAGGCAGAAGTAAAAAGGGAGATTTCAAAATTTACCACTATGTGGCTCTAAATAGAAAACAATTAAAATGTCAAGATAGGGAATAGTGCCAGAGAGGAGAGTAAATGAGATGAAAAAGCAGTTATTTCACAGGATTCTGCATGTCGAAAATAAATACCTCAAGCATGGCATTTCCCATTTCAGACAATTCCGCCCCGGGCTGGAGTTATCAGCGCCCCCCAGAGTCATGCTCGGGCATCTGCTGGAAGACTGACTCCAGAAAGCCAAAGCAAGCCACCAGAGGCATCGAAAGGTAGACACTGTATTAGAAATCCCACTTGGGACTGGGCATAATGGCACACTCCTGCCATCCGGCACTGTAGAGGCTGAGGGAGGAGGATCGCTGTGAGTTCAAGGCCAGACTAGGGTACATAGCAAGACCTTGTCTCAAAAAAAAAAAAAAACCAATCCCACTTGGGTTTTATATTTTTTCCTTTGCCTTTCTTTTTTGCTTTTACCTTCTGTCATCTGCTGCCTCCCACAACTGGTTCAAATACAGAGTCTTGCTTCTTTATACCACAAGAAATGAGGCTGCTTATTGGGGGATTGTCAACTTGAATGTCCTAACAGTTCATGGAAGAAAGAAAAAACACGGTTCTGAGAGTACAGTTAACCTCTGGCCATCACTGTTTTAGGCTCAACACTCCTTCCAGAACCACTGAAGCCCCAGGCTGCATTTCCCGTGCAGCCGTCCCTGCCCTCACCTGCGCCAAAGTTCCAGGAGCCTCTCGTCCCCACGGCAGCACCCATGCCTCAGCTTGGCCCCCAGCCCACTTTGGAAACCCCACCTCAGCCCCCGCCTCGGAGCAGGTCGTCCCAGGGCTTGCCTTCAGAGTCTTCACCACAGCCACAAGTAAGTCTCGTGTTAAATAAGCTGTTATGGATGCAGACTTGAAACGCCTATATTGTAATGATTAGCTTCTGCAAGAAATAAGTATGAACTTTAGTTTTCTTTTTATTTGTGCCATTTGGTATTAATAGCATCTGAGATAGGACTTCAGCAATGAGTGTCTCAAACTAGTCACATAACATTTGGCCATGAGGGTTTTAGATTGCTGTTGTGTTATGTGATGCTTAGATCAAAAATTCTCAGAATAATCTAGACCAGAGATTTTGGGGACATTTTCAAGTGGTTTTTCATGTTGATGTAAAAAGTTTGTGACTTTTTAAATGCATAATTTACTTCAGTTAAGAAATATTAAGATGAACAAGAATAATTTACCTTTTTATTGCTAAAAGTAATAAATTAGTCTTGGCTTTTACTTCCTGGAGAAAGATCAAGTCATGGACATTAGCATGGTAGATGATTTTCAGTAGACAGAATAATTCTTAGTTCCTCTTGGTGCAGGTAGTAGTTCTTTTCTGCCTAGATATTCATTATATATTTCTAATGATTGCAGTCATTACTGGGTCACTTTAGATGGTTTGGGCTCCACCAAAGTAAAAACTGTCAGACTGCTAAGTGACCTCCTCAGGGTCTCACAGGAAACAGTGCTGTCACCGCGGTGGTCCAAAATCCTATGGTCACAGAGGCCGTTGTCCTCTCACAGGAGAAGTTTCCACTGATTGCATACAAAATGATTGTTTATGGGGATAATCCTGTAAGATAAATTTCTTTTTAAGTTTGGGTGATATTTTACTTAGTTTTGTTATATTCATACATTTAAGAAAATTGGTTTACTCCCACAAACATATGGAAATTGAACAACATCCTCCTGAACAACCAATGGGTGACAGAGGAAATTAAAGAAGAAATTAGACAGTTTCTACAAGTAAATGATAACGCCAGTACAACATACA